TATTCTATGAGAGATATTAAAAATTTTCCGTAAGAGAAAGCAAATGCTGCTCACAAAAATCCTTCAAATCTTCTTTTAGGAATCAAATAGATAGAACCCCAAAATCTTTATGAGTTATGTCTTCACAAACATACAAAAGACATGAAGATGGAGCTAAAAAAACAGGAAGGAGGAAAGTGTAAACTTTAACGCTAATTCACAGAAATTCTCTACAATGTCACTTCATGTGATCTCATTATTAAATAGTTTCCAAACTCTATAAGTTAATTCAGTTTTTATAACGTAAAACCTGAGACTTCACGAATGAAAAACATTGAAAAATCTCCATCTTAATTTTATTTTTTCAACTTAGGATTGTTTCAATTCGACTTCAAAGCCGTCTATCTTGGCCTCCTGCCTTCATTTTCCAATTTCTTATTGGCACAATTATTGAGGTCTTTCTCAAATTCGACAGTCAATCTCTTCCTCGGTATTTCCCGTTTTCGGCAATCCCTAGATGGTAGGTCTTGTCCTAGGCCTATATTAAATACAATTACACCATGATCTCACTTTAGAAAATTGCATAGTTAAGTGTCTTATAATGAAAATCACTGTATCAAACGAGATAAAAATTATTCTAAATGTTTTCTTCAATCTAAAAATATTAAGCATTAACATCTTGGAGTGTTAGCTATTACAATAAGTAACATTTTTGATACTCCACCATTTTGAATGTCGAATAAATTTGCCGTGTTTTTTACTTGATGATTATGATTCTAAATGATTCTAATGAATCATTAGAATCATTATAATGATCATTATAATGAATCATTATAATGAATCATTATAATGAATCATTATGATGAATCATTATAATGAATCATTATAATGATCTAAATGATTCTATATGATTCTAAATATTTTGATTAATTCTCCTATATTTAAATATGATTAAATTTTTTCTCTAAATTAAACAGGAAAAAAAATTTTCACTGTTGTTCAACTTATTGACGTGTTGGAATATGACGCGCTGAATAGGCCATATTTAATTATAAACTTATTACAAGTTCTTTTTTTTTTTGTCTTTTTGAATTTACAATTTATTCGGATGTAGTTGCAATTTTAAGTGCTTTTTTCGTTATTTTTTTTTTTTATGTTACAATTTATTTTGCTGTTAAAGAACTGTAAGATTTAATAACTTGAAATACTAACAAGGTGTAGAAAACTGTACAAGGAGTACGACGGAGCAAAAAAAAATTTTAAAAAAAATTCAATAATATACCGAAAATTATTATCTCTTAAAATTTTTGTAAAAAAATATTGTGGTTCGATTTGTAGCCCGATGAAATGTAGCAACGGAGTTGAAATTTTGCATGTTGAAAGAGCCATTTTTATTTGTTAACTCACCACGAATTTTTTAAATTTTTTTTATTTTAAAATTGATTATTTATTCATAGTTCAGGAGAACTTTGTTTAATTTCTCCCTAGATCTTTATTTTATAAGCTCGCTCTTCAGTTGATGCCAATCAAAAGTTACAAACAAATAAAAAAGAAAGAATGAACGAAAGAAAGGGATTAGATGTTGCTAGATATACGCTTATCTTAGCAATTATTGTGATATTTTTAAAAATTAAGGAAATTCAATAAAAGAGAGATAAAAGTCGTTCATAATTTGAATTGCTTAAAAATCTCTCTAATAACAAGTAAAATTACTTCGTATTTATTTCTTCTTACTGAGTAGTTGAGTAGTACAATTTGTATTCCTTAGTGAAATTATGAACGAAAATTTTTTAAACTGATTTTTGTAAATATCTAATTACGTTATTTATGTATATATATGCAATTAAAAATTTTCTTCTTTGAGATTTTATAATGAAAAACTTCCACGAAATTTTTTTTCATTAAAATGACCATTTATTTTATAGTTTTATATTAGCAATCAAAATTTTTTTCTTCTGTTAAGCGTTTCTTTTTTTTTGGAATATATAAATATTTAATAAATTTTCAACTTTTTCTCTTTTTCTAAAGAACGAAGAGCTTTCAAGGAGGGTTTCAAACAGTAATGAAAGTGCTTGCTTAAAATTAAATTTAAAAGAGCTTAATGGAAAACAATCCCTATGTAAAAGATAAACTTTTGAAGAAAAAAAATTAAAAGAAAAAGTGAAACAATCAATGCTGAGAGTTTCCCTTTTATTTTATTTTTCTTTAGAAGTGACATATGCAGAGTGTTCGGTAATGACCGCCATTAATTCATATTTTTAGAATCCTTATCAAAAGTATTATAAAAATATACTCAGCAAAAATTACAAAAAAATTTCAATGTTTGTTTATTTGTGAAGTGTCAAGTTTTATGTTTGAAATATAGATAGATTTTGGAAGCTATAATATATGATGTAGGATATAATATATTTCACGTTTACCCTGTATTTAAACTGTACTATGCAAAAACATCGAAAAAGAGTGCTGCGTAATGACTACCTTTAGTATATATCTGAGAATCTTCGTTAAAAATGAAGTAAAAAAATTAAACTAGGAATCTTAAATTAATATTAAAGAGAGGATATTTCTCGTTTATTATGAATTTAAACTGTGCTGTGTAAAAACCTTTATAAAGAGTATTCCGTAATATAGTATATATTTTAGAATATTTGATAAAAATGAAGTAAAACATATAACTAGGGATCGTAAATTTATGTAGTATTTAAGATCCTTCTCGCTTATCATGCATTTAAACTATACTATGTAAAAACATTTATAAAGAATGTTCTGTAATGACTGCTATTATTTATATTTTAAAATCCTTAAAAATATGTAGCAAATTAATAGGAAATTTATCATGCATTTAAACTAAGTTAAAAACATTTATAAACAATGTCTCGTAACGACTGTCCTTAGTACATATTTTAGAATCATTGTTAAGGATGGAGTTAAATATTATAATTAGGGATCACAAATTAATATATAACGAAGATAATTATAGTTTTCGTTTACTATGCATTTAAACTGAACTGTGTAAAAATATTTATAAATAATTTTCCTTAATGATTGGTCTTAATATGTATTTTCATAGTCTAAATATGTATTTTAGAATCTTTGTTAAAGATGGGGAAAAGAAATACAACTAGGGAGCAAATAGATAAGTAATTTATCATTCATTTAAGCTGTACTATGTGAAACATTTATAAAGAATAATCCTTAATGACTGTCCTTAGAATATACTTTAAAATCTTAGTTAAAAACTAAGTATAATATGTGACTTGGAATCGAAAATTAACGTATAAACAAGGATATATGTTTCCCGTTTACCATTTAGGTTAACTGTGTGCTGTGTGCAAAATTTTAATTCGAAGAATAGCATAATGCTCACCCTTAATGCATATAAGGAATTATTTATCTCTAGAATCTTTCTAAAAATTAGGTCAAGGAAGTGTGCACATTAGTTGTCAGAAATTTGTATTAGAGTAAGCGAATTTGCATTAGAGAAATCTTCAAAACATGTTTGATTGCTGAAAGAAACACGTAAAGGAAGTTAATTTGTCATTATTAGAAAAGTCCTTAAGTTTCTTCCGTCAGTCATTCAAACTTGTTGTAGAGTTTTCATTTCCCTTTCCTTTGTTGTGACTTGAGAGATGTCGATAGCGTCTTGTTTTTTTTCTTTCTTTTTTTTCTTGCTGAAATATTAGTATGCGACTTTGTGTAAAATTTTTGAGTTCATGTTCGGCAAATCTAAAAATTTACATTGAAAGTGATCAGTGAGTGAGCATCTTGTTTACATAGTTTTGGTAATATTTTTAACTTTGACATTGGTAGATATAGTTTTAGTTCTGATATTTAATGAAGGGTGTATATAGGAAGTAAATATTATTTTTGTTTACCAGATATAACTTTGCAAAAAGAGAAATATCACGATGAAAAAAATAATGGAAGCTAATGTAGCTTTTTAATTTAATTTCTCAATGATTGTTTAAAACTATAAATTAATTCTAGTATTGACTGAAACTCAGAATTATCATGAACAGAAAATTATGTTATAGGTTATTAAAATAAACATTTTATTCCATAAAATGTTTCATCTGAGTTAAATTATTTGATTAAATAAATTTGTATTATAATCAGTCATTTTATGCTTTAGATAACGAAGTATTAAATGTTAATACAAACACTCATTTATGGGAAGGAAAAAGTTATTATTATTGTAGGACTGTAATTCCAAATGTTTATATCGTTAAAAAAAATACTAGCTAATAAGAATAACTCATCAAAATTAGTAATACATGAAATATAGAGGTGCACTTCTATATTCTTTCGATTAATACTCAAATTCTACTGTGATGTAGTTCACTATGTTATTTCGCCATAGTAACAATTGGTGACCTCTACTAGCCAAGTGTATAACCTTGGAAGAAAGGTCAAGGCCGCCCCCCATTAAAAATAGGGAGAAGGGTAAGAGTGTTACTCCTCAGCTCTCATAGAAGAGAATGGGGAGAGAATTGTATTTTGAAAGGGTCAAAGGTCGGCGTAAACTTGCTGGAATTGGACATCGGGTCCGCTGCTCCTCTGAAATCAACATCTCAAACACGGCAGCTTTTGAAGCAGAGCAAGTCCAATAATTTATGCCTTATTGAGAGTAAGTCGAAATAACATATAAATATTTTGTAAAATAAATTATCAAATTTGGTTATATTTCCTACTAAAAACGTTGCAAAATATAAAATTACTTTACACTGTTAAATCTATCAGGAATTCTAACAATCAAACCAGTTTTGCAGACATTCTCTACTAATTCACGAACATTTTCAGCCAACCAATATCACTTTCGTATTGTTTTCGATTACGCAATAAAAGTCTTTACAAATTTTCTTAAGATTGAAACAGGCAGAATTTCTAAGTATACAGCTCCAGAAATTCCATATATAATGAAGGATACATGCAAAATAACGTCGCGAAATGTCATGCTACGCAAGGGACATTGGTTGTTGTTGATTTGCGTCGCAATGGAGCATTGTAGCCGAGCGTTACATAATATATTGTCCTACATTATATATTATCTATAATTTGTTATTACATTATATATTGTCAATAATTTAGACTTGGATTTGTGAAACTAACCATTTGGCTAATTATTAGTTTTGGGACTTGAACCCATGATACAACATTCTAGTTGTATCAAACGATTTTTTTTATAATCTAATGTCAAAAGTTGGCTGTTTCTTGTTTATCCTTGTGGCTTCGACTTCCCCTGGCAACTGAAACATCTGCGGGATTCGTCGATGAGGAAGATACTTCTGAAATCAGCTGTTTCATAACAAAGTACTTTATTTGTAAACATAAATAATGTAAAACGCATTATTTTTAATGCATAAATATGGAGATAGTAAAGCATTTAGTTAAGGAAAAACTGGGTGTAAAGGTGAGCATATAGCAGGCTTACTGATATTGTTTATAGGTAAACAGGTAGAATTATTCTAACAAATTTTTAAGCACATTTTGGAATTAAATTTCTTTTCAGTTTTTCACAATTATTAATAAGATATTGCATTTAATTCTTATTTTTCTTCTGAAATCATTTACTTTTTAATTGCTTTTGTTTATTCCCCTACCCGTACTTGCATATTTTTAACTTTTTTTTTCAGACTTAAAAATTAATTAGAATTATGACATGAATATGCCATTCCGTTTATTTAAAGTTTGTATTTATCATTCCTTATATTTTCTTGTTTCACTGATATTTATTGTGGGTTTTTTTTTCCCTTCCTTTTTTAGTAGTTGTTGTCAATTCGTTAAAAAATATAATTTTGATCCTTGCTGTAAAAATTCTTCGAAATTAATTCTTTTTTTGTTTTGTGCTTTTTTTTATCAAAATATCTGCCCTTTATTCTTATTAACATGTGTGGAAAATTGTAATATTTAGTTTCTGGAAGAGTTGTATGTGTTTAAACTAAACATAACAGTAGATTGCTGTAACACCAATGATATTGTTCTAATTCAGTTACTGGTAAAGTATTGAAGACAGCTGAAGTGGCATAACAGATATATAGTTACAACAATGGCATTATGCTTCAGTTTCTAAAAGTATTAAAGCTGTTGGAAGTAACACAATATAGTAGATTGTAATAATAACAATTTAATTGCTATGGGTTAGTTACTGGAAAAATATTAAAAACATTTGACATGACATAGCAATGTAGATTATTATAACAATGTTATTTGATAAATTTAAAGTAATAAATAGTAAAACAAAGTTCTCATTATGCAAGATAACAATAGGATCCTTTCTTAAACTTAATTTTCAATTGAATTATTTTTATCAATAATTTAATAATATTTTATTTATTGTTTAGTATTACCAATGACAGAAGCTGGCTAAAGAAGCATGTCTGAAGCACCCGTAATTTGCACTTTGCCAGTGTTTACTTCCCCTGCTCAGCAAATAACTTTTTATGCTGATGACCCAACTTCTTATCAACAGGTGCTCACAATACTAAATCCATGTGAGTTTCCTGTAAGGTTCCAAAGTAAGTAATTGTTTTATATATTATCTGCATATTTTTTAAAAAAAGAAGAAAAAAACATTTTTTTTAAGGAACTGTTAAGGCTATGGGGATATTTCCGTATCCTGATCTATTGCTCCGACTGTAACCAAAGTGCCAAATAGTTTTAACTTCACATTTTAAAAAAAAAATGTATATGTTTGCTTGGGGGTGGTTACGAGTTGGTCCTTTTGTGTGATGTTTTTTAGTTTCTTGCAGGCCACTGCCCAAAAGTTGCCAAGACTTGGCGATTTTTCTGCCGCAGATCACGATACGGAATCTCCCATAGGCCGCTGCTTAAATTTTCAATTTTAACGTTTTCGTTATACTGAACGAAGTTAGCAGTCCCACAGTGGACTGATCGTTAAGAAACGGTTCCAGCAGATCACCGAAGTCAAACATCACTGACTGAGGTGAGAGTGCGGGTGGGTGACCACTTGGATCAGTCTGCGTAGGGACCGTTGGTGTGCGGTATTGGTCCTCTTTAAACTGTTCTATCGTAAAGTGCTCGACTTTGCGTGCTGTTCGTCGGGCTACTGAAGCGGGGGTGCCATGCCCTCTGCAGAGGATCAAAATTGTGATGGCATGTGTTCGGATCATCCTCAGGGATGTTTTCCAGACCGTCGCCAATAGCCCATAGTGCAGCTCTAGTGCGACGTAAATGAACAACAACAACGAATGAAGTTAGCAAGAATACTCTACACTTTTTTTATAGTGGATCATCGCAAAAACAAAAAATAATCTTGCAATTGTTAAGATTTGAGATAATTAAGTTGTACAGTCAACTAAAATTTTCTGAATAAACTTTGCAGCTTTTAGATGCCCAAAGATGTTAAGATTCTCCTGCTAAAACACACAAATTAGAATTTTCTTTGGTACTCAGAACTACCACTACTCAGAAGCAGTGGTCAGAACTAACACACTATAAGTAAATAAACTACTTTTTGTTGTAGTTTGTAGTGTGATATGCTACTTTTCTTAAAGAGTAGTGAAATGAGTAGTGCCATGCAATCAACAGTAATTAGTAGCGATTTCTTGCAACTACTTTTAATTTTAGTTTAGTTAAGTAAGAAGCATCAAAGGCAACAAGTTTTTTCAATGATTTTAATGGACACAGTGAGCCTTTTAGCATAACAAATAGTTCTGGTATAAATATACACTCATAAAAAATTAAAAGGATTATGTGCATATCATTTAAATGCAAAGAAACATGTTTTGTTTTATAGGTTTTGATTTACAGTGCCAAAAAAAACACCCTGTATAACTTTTGATCTAATGATCGGATCTTTACGATTTAGCATTCAATCTTAATATTTTGGGGGGGGGTGACCTCAGATATGCTGATTAATGAGAGCAGACGATATTTCAGGTTACGAAATCAGACACAAAAACGTACTATCTCAGAATAAACATACTTTCAAAAAAAACGGATTCATATTTCTTACCACTAAAATATAAGGGGTAGCCACAATCTGGGAAACGTGGTCCCTATAGTTTGGTAAAAAGAGCAATCCTAAGTTAAGATCCCATAATGTTAATTTTATTTTTTGCGTATTTCACCATATCTTGAGAACTTTTTAAGTGAATTGAAAAAAATTTTGCATGCAATTATAAAATTTGTTTATCCAAAGATAATTCCATACAAAAAAATCATTAAATATTTATTATTTTATTTAATGATAGTCAAGAAAAAATTTTATGTAAGGTATTTAACTTTTTACATAATTTTGAAGTATAATAATTAACATTGCAAAATACAAAATTTGAGCTTAATCTGTTGAATAATTTTTGAAAATTTAGTTTTAAAATAATCATATATCTGTAACTTTTTTCAGTTTCTAACTGATTTAAACTGAAATAATTTGTTATGAAAATATCGAAAATTCAGAATTTTTATATTGCAGTTAATAATTGACATTTGATCAATCAAAAAGTGTTGATCAATGATGGGCGTGAGTAATACTGAATGAATGTGAATTAATATTTTTTAGCAAGCTCATTGTTTGTTTTACAAAACTTAAAGAATGTGAACTTGTTACTTTTTTTACATGTGTTTTTAATGTTTAATTTTAGTTCTGGTTCAGTCTTCTGACCTCACTAGATATTCCTTGAATGTCCCGCATGGTTTTATCAAAGCGCAGCATAGAGTGCTGGTGTAAGTAAAATTTCAATTTCTCGTGTTATGGTTTAAAATAATAATCTTTTAAATTAAACAGCATCTCAGAGTGGATGAAAAAAAAACAAAAGCTTGTATTACCTTCGAATAATAATTTGTTTATTTTTGGAAATTTGAAAAACTTGACTATTGTTGATTTAATTTAAATTTTATTTGTATTACTATTTTTTTTACCATTTGCTTAAAATAGCAAGTTTTGTTAAAAAGATTTTTTTAAACTTTATTTTTACTGATTAATTGATAAAGTTCCATTTTTTTATGATTATTGTTCTTTATATTCCTTTTGACCATTTACTTTCCATAGAAAACATCTGATTATATAATGCTTATTCAGACTTAAGTTATTTGTTATTCTTGAATTTAATACATTGTCAACTATGTTATTTTTATTTCATCATTTATATTTTTGTGTATTTTTATTTACAACATATATTCTCTAGTACGTTAAGTTATTTTCCTTTGTAACCTGTGCTTCCTTAATTAAATTATATTTTGAATAAGTAACACATTTTTTACAAAATGAAATAACTCTGTAATTGAAAAAAATTATTCTGTAACAGGTAGAATGCTAAGTACATTATAAGTTTTCAAATTTTTTTCTATAATTTCAAGAAGCATCGAAGATAACCAAAGAAAATTAACTACTTAAAATTTTTGTGCAATTTTTATCCTTTCAACTGCAGTTAATCATGTCTGCAGATTATTTTTCATCTCAGATTTGAAACGGAAAGAAAAAGAAACAACTAAAATATTGCCGAAGGGAGAAAAAAAGTTTTTTTTTTTTTTTTTTTTTTTTTTTTTTTTTAAAAAAAAATNTTTTTTTTTTTTTTTTTTTTTTTTTTTTTTTTTTTTTTTTTTACAATAAAATTTTTTCTTTTTAAAATTATGATGCAGAAAAAAAAAGTTTTCTTAAAAGCTTTGAATTGTGATTGATTTTCTGAACTATCCGAAAATTTTCTGATCTGTTACTAAAAAAGTAGCCTGTAGATATTGATTATTAAAAAGAATTTAATTATAAATTTTTTTTTCCCTAGACTAATTTCAAATTTTGGGAAAATGTTTTTTTTTTTAATGTGATTTCAGACTGTATTAGGATTTATTCCAATTTTTTCCTTCCCAAGTATTATTTTATAAAATTCTAATTAGCGTTGTATAAGATTTTAACCACACTATTTTTTGCTTAATTTTTATTAATCTTAAACAAGTACATTTTACTCTTTACATGGTAGATTAAACCCAATTCTAGTCTTTTAAGGACTGCATTGGAATAACAAGTAAATTTGAATTAATAAAGATAGTACTACTGATTAACTCAGTAGATTCTGCTTGCAGGAATGTAATTACTTAACTGTACTTTCATAATTAATTAAATACGTATTAGAAAAATTTTAATTTTATTTGTGCTAGTACTGTTATAAATATAATTATATCTATCATTTAAAATTAGTTAAATTAGTTTTCTTCTAAAAACCTAAATCTTTATGGGAACAAAATTTAAATTTGTATGGAAGTAAGTTTGCTGAGTAGTCTTGTAATTTATTAACATAAAAGAGGAAATCCAGTTTCCTGTGTAGTAAAGCCGTATGATCCACTACGATCTCAATTCAAGGTCAACAATTGAAATTTTAAGTTACGTGTTTTAAGTTTAGTATGACATTTTCAAAAATAAAATAAAATTTATCTATTATTGAACATTTTATAGTTCGTTAGAAATAATCCTTTCTTTCTTTTCAGAATAATCCAACACAACTCTATAACATCTTCCAGTATTGGTGTTATGGATAAGCTTAAGATATCCATGTCATGTAAAAAACCTGGGATAAGCTTCAATAAAAAGGAGCTTCCCATGATTTTGTTTGCTTCGCGGGGACAATCGACTGAGCCAATTTTATCACTAGATTCAGCTGATTATATTTCTCATCAGTCAGCAGAAACAAAAAGTTTACATAGCTCAAGGCAGCATGCAATTGTAACAGAAAGTGAGTAAAAAATATACAATTTTATATATTGTTGTATTTTACCTGAAAATTTATGCATGTCACAAATCGGAATATAAACTTAGAGTTCAAATCAAGTTGTAAGTAGTTTAATGCTATTTAAACAAAAATAAGTTTGAAAAAATATTGAAAACTAGCCATAACAAAAAGAAAAATTGTATTGTGCATAAATTAAACTGCTGACTACTATTATTAACTATCGTTGAGTTGTAATTGTTCAATATACCACTTTAATAAAAGTGATTATCAGTATCTAAAATTAAAAAATTTTTGTTTTAAAATTTTTTTTTGGTTTAAAAAAAAAGATAAGTTTTAAAAAATTCTGAAGGTTTAAAAATTATTGCGGGGACGCATACACCCTGACACGCCTCTAATGCATTCCAATTATAATTTGTACACCTTTAACAGAGTCAATTTTAATAAATAAAAAAATTCTGGGCATTAGTCTTCCTCCTAATCATTTTTGGCTAAAGATGCTTGTAGAGTTCAAGAAAACTTTAATGGATATAAGCTTTAAGGTTCTCAATAAATGAAAGTTTAAAAGGTTTCTAGGTGCAAGTTTAAAGATACAATCCATATTTATCCATTTATAATGCTTAAACTTATTGTAACTTTATACTTAATATGCTATTGGGATGGAATTTGAAGAAAACCAATTGGGTTGCAGCAGAGATTAAAACTTTTTTAATTCACATCTAACCATCCAAATGCCCACAGTATATTACCCTTTTATTGCCCCTAATTTGCAATACCATAATTCTAAGGTTCCATTTGTAATTATTTTACTATTCTTTCCTATATACTTTGCAGCTTTACGATTAATTTAATTTGTATTTTTAATTTTGCAGCTAGACATGGCTCAGATACAGATATTGTCAAGAAATTTCAAGGATACCTTATTGCATTTATTTTAGGTAAATAAGTTCTCAATTTGTATCCATCAATGCTCTTACTGTTTTACATGTAGGATAAACTACTCATGGGTTCAGGGGTTTTCATCTCTTTGTACTGCAAATGTGGGTTAGATCCATCAAAAAGTCCTCCTGTGAGGCAAATTTCTCTCAATATATGTAATCAATTTTCATTCCCTCTCATAACTCCTATCCCTAAAGCATGCAATTACCAAAATAAAATGAAAAAACATTTTTGATGCCCTCTGTATTTAAAGTTCATTTTTCAGTTTTGTATGAATAAGATTGAAATTGGAAAATATTATTTCAATTGATGCTGAGCTGCATAGGCCAGAATGAAGACATGCTAAAGCTATTATAACATAGTAAAATAATATGTAACAGGAAAATTTATTCTAATAACTGTTAATTTAATTAAACCCTTGAATTGATTGATTGAAAAAATTAATAACTCATTTAAACACACAATTATACTTTTTGTATATTATCAGGGGTCTGTCCAAGCCGAATTTACTACCGTTTAGCGGTACCTTCACAAATTCAACTTTAGGAAAAACGGTAGTTTCACAAATTCAATTTTAGGATAAACGGTAGTTTCACAAAATACTTTTTCTTAAAATTTTATTTTTGTATCCCTTAAGAAACGATAAATCCATATTTTTGTGTTGATTTTTTAATATAATTTTTAATTTTTCACAAATTATGTCTAAATTTTCACAAAATAGGTACCTCTCAGAAAAACCTAGACAGACCCCTGATTATAATTATAATTAATTTTGTATATATTATGTATAATCAACATTAGTTCACTAATATTGGAAATATTCATGCACTTATAAATAGGAATGCAGAAAATTCTCAGAGCCTAATATTCCCTATGTTCAAAATTTCTTTTTGGATCAATTTTTTAAGTACAATATCATTTTGAAAATATTTCTGGAAAAAAAAAAAAAATTTCAGAATTTTTTNAAAATAAATAAAAAAAATTTTTTTTTTTTTTTTTTTTTGATTTTACACAATTCTTGAATAAATGAGTATATGTGTTATAAAATAATAGAAATCAAAATATAATGAAATCGTAATAATTTCATGAATTAAATTTAAGGTCCCACTTATAAACTTAAGGAATTCAAACTAATAAATACACAAATTGGCATTTTTTTAGACCAAAAATTTTACCATGGCTGTCAGAATTCTGCTCCCCTGAATATAATTAATAACTACAAATATTGAGAATCAATGAAAAAAATTATTGGTATAGATCAGACAATTATTGGCGAACACTTAAATTTTACGTAATATAAAAAGTCATGTCAAATTGTAGCATAAAAGAATTAAAATCAATATTTAAATTGATAGTACAGGGCTTAATCCAGGGCGATTTTGGTACCGTTTTTCGGTACCTTCACAAAATTTAAAAAAAAAGAACGGTACCTTCACAAAATAAAAATAAAAAAAATCGGTACCTTCACAAAAAAAAATCAGTACTTCAACAAACTTTGAAAAAAAAANTAAAATGATTTTAAAGGTGTTTTGGAATAATTCCTTGTTTATATTCAATTTATGCTTGTAATAACAATGCTTATTTTATAAACATTTTAACATTAAATTCACTTATTAAATTTTTATTGGTTTGATAAGTAATGAATGTTTTTTTTATATAGGCTCATTTGACGTTTTACTATACACAAGTAAAGATATTGAGGTTCAATAATTTTTTTTCACAAAAATAGGTACTAGGATTGAAAACCTGGATTAAGCCCTGTAGTAATTAACAACCTATAGTTATTACCTGCAGTATAAACAAAAAAGTTATAATATGGGTCTCAAAGTATTAAGAATACTATTTGAAAAACCAATTAATAGTTTCAATAATTTTGGCTAAATTTTTTATTTATACATAATATAAATCATAATTATAGTAGTATATAATTCAAGTATTCTGCATGATTTATGTATCTAATGAAATATCTTCAATGTCGAAAAGGAAACTTGCCCCAGGTTTTTGGCGTGTCATGTCAAAAACTAGTTTTAGCATCAAAAATCCAACCCTGATAGTCGCACTTTCAGATACCGGTTTTTCACCGAAATTGCTACAATTTTTGCTCAGTTAAGGGGTTTCATGCTCCTTTTCCCCGGTTATACAGCTGTTTTTAAAAGGCCTTGTAATAAGGAGATGAAGATGTTTGGTGGCTTTGACTTTTAGCATAGGGTGTTGGAAAAGAAAATAGAGATTTGTCTGGAGGTAAACATTCAAAGATTTAGAGAGAAAAAAAATGTTTTTTAATTAAAATTTGTAAAAAAATAATAAAAAAAAGAAGTAACAATTTCTGCGACATAAGTAAAAGTACTAAATTTAAAAAGTAGTAAAACTATTACCTTGTATGAATATTATAAAGGTATGGTTATATTATAAAGGCCTTCATTTATTTAATATTTGTTAAACCAATTTAGTAAAACATTTTGTATGATTGTCATTTCTTAAAAATTTTATTCATTTGGCGAAGTTATTTTGAGCCTATTTCTCATATTACGAGATACTCATGTTTTTGAGAACAGTAGAAAAATGTCTTTATTCTGGAAAAGTATGTTCTTGCATAAGATATGTAATTTACTTAATAGCTCACACAGGGTCTCAACTAACTAACTAAAAAATTAGTAATAAAATTTATGTCACGAAAATTCAATAAAATTAATCTTAAGAAATGGGCAGATTTTTTTTCTGTATGTCTGGGGCTACCCTGTCACAATAAATTTGCTTTACAAGAAAATTTGCCCAGTCACCATTCCTGTTAATTCCTATCTAAAATAAGCTCTTGAATTAGACTATCTTTATTACCTGTCACCTACCATTTTTAGTGATATCCCTCCCTCTATGATTTTATGGCTATAAATTTAATTTAGATGATGGTAAATTTTATTTTATCTCTTAAATATCTTCTGAAGAAATAGAAAAGTGGCTTTAAAGCATGAGCATTAGTTGTAAAGAGGGTGATTTGCCATCTTAAATGGTGATTAAAAATTATAGTTTTTAGGAAGTATTCACTTTTCTACACATTCTATCCTATTTCTTCCTCCAAATTATAAAAATTTCAATTATAGCAAAGAGCCGGTGATAGAAGAGAGCATAGCTGCCAACTCTTGCATTTTGCTGAAACTTTCTGTATTAGTAACCCATTTTCTGCCTTTCTGTGCTGAGACTGAAATCTTATGTATTTTGAAAATGTGCAGTGTGGCAAAAACAAAAAAAAAAAAAACGAACCATCCTGAATCACTTTAGATCTAATCATCGGATCTTCACGTTTTAGGACTCAGTGTTAATGGTTCGAGGGGGTGACCTCAAATATGCTAATTAATTAGTGCAGACATTTTTTTAAGTTACAAAATCAGTCACAAAAATGTACTTTCTCTGAATAAACATAACTTTTTTTTCAATGGATTCTTATTTCTGGCCCCAAAATATATTGGGTAGCCGCAATCTGGGAAATATGGTCCCCATAGATTGATCAAGATAGCGATCCAAAGTTTACACCCCTTAATGTTAACTTTACTTTTTGCATATTTCGCTATGTCTCGAGAACTTTTTATGCGAATTGAAAAAAAATTGCAAATTTGTTTTCTAAATATAATTTCATGCAAAAAATAACTGTTTGTAAATATTTATTATTTTTATTTGTTAGATATACAATTTTTGCATCATTTTAAGAAATGTAATTTTATATCGCAAAATACAAAATTGGTCGAATAGATCTTAAGAAATCGAATTTTGAGACTTTTTTGAAATTCAATTCCTCAACAACTATTTGACCAATTTTGCTAAAATTTTGTATTTTGCTATATAAAATTACATTATTTAATAAAATGATGCAAAAAATTTTATATCTAACAATTCGAAATTTTTTGCAACCATTCTTAAATAAAATTAGAAAATATATTTACTAAAAGTTATTTTTTGCATGGAATTATCTTTGGATAAACAAATTTTATAATTCTGTGTAAAAAAAATTTCGATTCCCATAAAAAGTTCTCAAGATATATTGGATTACGCAAAAAGTAAAATTAACATTAAGGGGTCCAAACTTTGAAGCGCTCTCTTGACCAAGCTATGGGGACCCCATTTCCCAGATTGCAGCTACCCTCCTATATTTTGGAGGTACGAAATACGAATCTGTGGAAAAAATATATATATATTCTGAGATAGTGCGTTTTTGTGTCTGATTTACAATATAGCAGATTACTTCTCTTATGCCATCAAACTCCACTTTTCATTCAGTTATTCCTGATCTTACTTGTTTCTTTGCATTTGATTCACTAGTTTTCTAGCTACATGATACCAAGTATACCTCTTTTTTTGGTGTATAAAATATTTGTTTTTGCCTTTATTAAGCTTAAATTGTAAAGAGCTATTTTCTTTTTATAGGTTTTCTTGTTTGCATGTGGTGGAAGTCATGACAGCTGTTTTTATTTTATTCAAAGTTAATCTTCAAAAGGAAAGATATATATAGTGTGCCTACAATTTAATTTTCTATTATTTTGCCTCTTTTAAATGTTAAATCATTTTTGAATTCCTTCATTTCTATCTTCAAGAAAAGTGAAAATATATATATAATGCTTACTTATATATATATAAATATGTGAAAATATATATAATACCTATCTGTATTTGCCTATGATGAGTATTCTCCTGGACTCTTAAAAGAAACTGTGTGTGGCTATTTTTTATCCTTGTACATAAAATCATTTAATGAAATGCTCTTACTATTTTATATATTGTGTGAATATTTTAATTTTCCTGTTTTATGTGAGTGTATATGTGTCAGTGAGTGATGTAAATAAGAGGCTTGTAAATTTGATGTATATTGCATTATGCACATCTTTAGTTATAGTGTTTTATTTAAAGAAACTTTGTGATAAATATAGGGCTTCAATTGATACAAATCAATTTTTAATTTAATAATTATTGTCTGATAATGATTGTTTTGTGATAATTAAAGCAAGTTTCATATTGTATCCCAACTTTATTGCCTCTATTCTCAACTGCGATAAATATTCCTAATACATACGTCTTTTTCTTTTTGGTTGTGTGAAGTAATTAAAAAGATGATCTTGTACATACTGGCCTTGTCTTTTTAAGATTGCTGTAAAATAATTACTTTTTTAGATTTCTTTTGTGTGTTGTTAATGAAAGTTGGAGCATGTGTTCAAATCCTATTTAATAGTAAAAATGCTTTTAAAAAAAAAATTCTGTTATTTTTTATTGGTGAAAGTATTTTATGTATCTCCCGGTCTTTTTAACACTAACTTTTAACTTAAAATTATGGCATCAATTTGACCTTCAGCATAACTATTTATTAAAAAAATGTTACTTCGGGAAAAAAATTTGTCCAAAAATGGTTATTTAATTATACTAAACAAAAGATATTCCTCGAATTGAATGCCTGCAAGCAACAGCCCATGTGGGTAAATTATGGCATTTGTTTGTGCCACGATTCAGCAACCAATCAGGTTTGACAGGGACTCCTGACATCGCTTGCAGGTATCCAATTAATTCTGATTCAAAAGTTGATTTAGTGTGATAATAAACAAAGGTCAGGCATAGGGCCCCCACTGCGCTTGGGGTCCCTTGATGTTACAAATAATACCTTTTTGTGTTTTTCTATAAAAATTGTCTATTAGAGTTATGATTTTACGAAATTTGAAGCAAATATAAGCTCAAATTTATTAATATATCATAATTTGCTTGTAATATAAACAAAACAAAAATTCAAAAACATTTCAAATAAACAAATGTAAATTTAGTTTAAAGTAACAACCAGAAGGCCCTGACATTTCTAGATGACGCCCTGGCTGTAACCTTAACTCGCCAAGCACAACCCTGTGATTTCGGTGATATTCTTCTTAGGTTGCAAGTAACCAATTAAAATGCCATTTTAATCAAGCTCTTTTTATCAAATTTTTATTTTCTCAGTTCTTATTTTTCTAAAAAAAAGTTTTATCACTGTCATCTAATCCTAGACATCTTTTAGAAGGTAAGCATTGAAACATGCATTAATTTAGAAACCTAATTTCTCTCTAAAAATGTCAACTCGATTTCTAGCTATCAGAAAAACATACCTGATTTGATTTTGATGGTTCAATGTAAGTATTATTTGATAAGTAATACAAAAAAAAATTGTGTCTTTCAAATAAATAAATTATGCAACCAAAATAACAATATAATTATGCACTTATTTTTTTTTTAAAAAAATGAATTCTAAAAAAAATAAATTTTATAAAGATTATTATTTTTTTTATTTAAAAATTTTATATCGTTAATGGCATGAAATTTCCTGGAACATCTACCCAATTGACCAATCTTCTTTAACAAGCAGAACCTCACTTTAAACCGATTGGAAGAAGCTGAATCATGCCCAGACTAGATTGGGTTAACTGCAGTAATGGGGATATCCAAGCACTTGTAGTGAACAACTGGAACACCCTGACAAGGAAGAGCAGAATGAATAAAGATCGTTTAAAAGGCCTTGTCCTCCTAGGGGCTATCAAGTCATTAAAGAATTTTTGATTAAAAAAAAATCTTTTTTATAAAAGATCTTCCTTTTTTTCTTAAATTCTTTTTAAAAAAATTTTGCCCCAGAAAAATAAAACTGAAATGAAAGGAAATTTTTATAGTTTATCCATACAGCATTGACCTTAGCAATGTTAATATCAAATAATTACCATGGTGTATGGGTTTTAAATGGCAAAAATAATTGTATATAAACAAAGCATCTTTTTCAATGAAGTTGGATTTAGTTTATTGTGGTTCGTGCAAGCCAAATTTTCTTTAGTTAATTAAACCAGTTGCCAATCGATCACCAAAGACTTTTGATTCTTAAGAAACTATTACATGGTTATGAGAATAATATAACTATCGATATTTCAATAGTTTTCCCGAAATGAGAAATAGCTTTTACGGTTCTAGTTATTTCGCAAATTATTCATAAATGTCTATGCATGAAGTTTTTTAATATAGAAATCCGATTACTTAATCAGAAGTTATTCAGATATTCCTTTTTTGTGCACTGTATAAAATTATTAATATGAGTATATCGATATTATTTAATTATATTTTAGATTAGCGTCTTATTTAAAAAAAATTCCCATGCAAAATGTGTTAAAAATTTACAGAAATGAAAAGTATCAATTTTAAAACATCCCTCTGAAGAAGTTTCTGGCTGCTTCACTATATGACTCATAATATAACTCAAATTAATTCATCTATGACCTCTAGAATTCATAACATTTTGGATCAGTGTACGATTTCCGAGTTCAAGAATTTTACTGTTTGTTTCCTCTGAAGATTTACTCTTCAAGTATCTAGAGAACCTTACCGATATCATATTTACATATTGTTTTTAATCTGATAAGAATGAAACTTTAAAAAANATCCATATAACAACTTTAAAAAAAAAAAAAAAAAACATGCTCATGATATGTGGAGAATTTAGGTCAATACTCGATTTAAATTTCATTGCAATTTTAGATTTATCAAAATTCACTGCTTTAAATTTGAAAAATAGCTAACTTTTAACTTAAAATTATGGCATNGGGATAAGAGATCAACTGGATGACTTTCGATTACCTATACTTAGCAGCGTTACCATAATACATTTACCAGGCAATGAGAATACCCTGATTAATGAATTGCTGCTTTTATGACTGTATTTGCCATTGAAGATATTTATTGCTTTCTCACAGTTTTCCAGCATTACTACTAAGCAGTTTCATTACATCAGAGATTACATGGCCTATAAAATTAATGTCAAATTCCTTAAATTTAGCTTGAGAAAGCGTTCTTTTCTTATTTATCTGTTCTTAAAATTCTGATTGTTAGATAGCATCTTACTCAGGATGATTTGTCGTAGGTATTATGTGAATTTGTAAATGACTGCAGTGGCACAGCCTTCTGAAATCATTAAAAATTAAACCAGTTGCCAATCGATCACCAGACTTTTGATTCTTAAGAAACTATTACATGGTTATGAGAATAATATAACTATTTGCTAATTCAAAAGTTTTCCTAAAATAAAAAATAGGTTTTTCGATTCTAGTTATTCTGCAGATCATTCATAGATGTCTGTCTATGCATGAGGTATTTAATTTTTTTAAATATAGAAATCTGATTACTTAATCAGAAGTTATTGAGGTATTTTTTTTCACTGTATTAATTTACAAATATTATTTAATTATATTTTAGATTAGCTTCTTATTTAGAAAAATTTCCCATGTAAAATGTATTAAAAATTTAGAGAAATGAAAAATATCAATTTTAAAACATCCCTCTGAAGAAGTTTCTGGCTGCGGCACTATATGACTGTAAACAAAATATAACTCAAATTAAAAATTGTGGTCTCGATTAAATTATTGAAATTGATGTGGAATAATAATTTTTATTTTAAAATAATTAATCTAAAATTTGATGCATAAAGCACAGCTTGAATCATTACATTTAACCTTACCATATTCATCTATAACCTCTAGAATTTTGGATCAGTGTATGATTTCTGAGTCCAAGAATTTTACTGTTTGTTTCCTCTGAAGATTTACTCTTTAAGTAACTAGAGAACCTTACCGGCATCACATTTACAGTTTGTCTTTAATCTGAAAAAGAATTAAAAAAAAAAAAAAAAAAACATGCTCATGATATGTGGAGAATTTATGTCAATACTAGATTTAATTTTTTATAAATTTCATTGCAATTTTAGATTTATCAAAATTCACTGCTTTAAATTTGAAAAATAGTAGCTATCTATTAAAATAATTTAATGCTACTACTTGAAGGTTTTCTTGTGTACTGCGATAGGCGGTACACAAGTGATTAGTGGTTCTAAAAACAGATCTTCAATACTCTAATTACTCAAGGCTAACTATAAGTTATGAAATCAGACCCATAAGCAGAATTTTATTGGCGGTGTGTGATACATGGGGATATGTCGTTCTCCCACTAGTTTTTCGATAAAATTCCCTTTTTTCTTCTATATAGAATTTTTTTTAATTTGTAAATTTTTATTTATTTATTGTAAAATTTGTTTATTTCTGCAATTTATCTACAGTGAAAGTTTTCTTTGCAGTAGTACTGTTGCAAGTATATTGATATGCACTTCTTTTGATCATTTGTGACTTTCAAAACACGGGGAAGGGCAACGGCGAAATCTGCAAAAAAATGGTCTAAGTAGTTAATTCAGGTGAGCTGTCAAAAGGTTGAACCACTTATTGTTTTGGTGTGTGCATTTCGCTAAGTTTCTATAATTATTTATATTCCACCAAAATACATAAAACTTGAGAGGTATTTTAGCTTTATTGTTTTTTCCTTCTACAATACATGCACTGTATGTCTTTTTTTCTTGCCGAAATCAGTTTCGGGTCTTGATAAGCAGCACGATAAGTCGTTTCGTAGCTGTTGTTCAAGTTTGGCTGGTGACCAGGAAACGCCTTTGGTAGAGAAAAGTTGAACATCTTGGCGTTGATGTCGCTATTTTCATCTGTCCAATTACTAACTCGGACTTTTGGATTATAACGATTCTTCAAGGGATTTTCTTGCCACTCACTTCTTCCTGAACTAATATAGTTCTGTTTCCAATATAAAAATTGTTCGCGGCTTGACATGTCTTTTGTTGGGGAAAAAAAAGTGAAGCTCCTTTTTTAAATTCCTCGCATATTATATTAATTCAACCGGTTTGCAATATTAGGCTTTAATTTCATTTGCGTACCTCCGACTCTATTATGATTATTAGAATTGCAATATAAGATAAATATTAATCCATTATTTCTTTAATTAGTTTTTCAAGAAAACCGTAATTAGAACAATCTCAATATTTATGTAAATGCTTTAATTAAAATAGTTTTAAAAAAATTATTTCAGTTTATTTCAACTGCTTGATTTTGCGTTATTACATTAATTAATTTACATTTTGCTATAATTTTAAATTTAATGCTTTTGCGATTGCATTTACAGTCTAGTTTCACCAATGGTAAGGGTGAACTAGATGAATATCGAGTTTAGCCTTGCCTGGGGAAGTTATAAGTTCCCGAGCTTTAATGCTTCGTATCAGAACCAAAATAGAAACTGATTACCTGTCCATTCGAAATCCATCAATGATTAATTAGTTACAGATGCGACCAATAGGAATAGTACAAACTGAAATTGATTGAATGATAGTTGAACACTGATCTAGTTCAGCCGCTGACATCTCTATACAAAGTAATATTATTTGGTTGATAAATGCAAACGTGTAACAGTGGAGAAAATGCTATTTAATTTAGATTTTACTAAAAAAGCTGAAGAAAACTTATATAAATGAAGCTTTGAACTTCTTTTAAACAATAAACTATTTTAATATCAGCTTACAACTTTTTCGATATTTATCCGTTTAGGGGGATTCTAAAAAAAAATTACAGCAGTATTTATAGGTACCAATTTTCCCAGAATACTAGTAGTACTAAATCATTATGGAGTCAATGAATGTGGGGGCGAATCTCTCACGGACACCAAAAAGGATAAGTACTTACTTTTCAAAAAAATATAAATTATTTTAATTGGTTTATCAAATATTATCTTCATTATCGGGATAAGAGATCAACTGGATGACTTTCGATTACCTATGAAAGAAAACGCCACACTTAATTGGTATATAAATTTTTTAAAAGAAAAATCGGTATTAGGACATTTAAGTTTAACTATGCAGTCTTCGTAAACTCAACCGATGCGAAAAGTTCTCTCTTCCAAAGTTAATATCTGTTGTTTGGTATGGTATAAACCCCCAAATTGATTAAAAATTTTGTCACTGTAACTGTTTTTAACACCATCTTGAGTGCATAAATCACAATACCCATGAACAAAATGTTATTCTGTTAGTATGCTCTCCAGGGGGTCATATGTAGGCAAAGTTATTTAATAATCACCCTGTATTTCAAGCCCTAAATTACAATTAACCACATCACAACTTTAGCAGTTATGAAGAAGCTATTTTGGTACTTCATAACAATAACAGATATGCATATTTAGGAGATATGAAATAAATCCAGAAGACAAAATCGAATTAAGTCAGAAATAATTTATTGAAAACAGCAGATGATACATATAAAATCCACCGATCTGGTATTTCATTTATTAATCCAGACAAAAATTTATACAGTGAAAATAAAATCAAGCACATGTTCATAAAAAGGCACAGAGTAAGGAAGCTTTATTTTAATTAAGCAAGAAAACATAAATCACAGAAAATTAATGAATTCTTTGGTCACATTAAAATCCACCACAAAGTAAACATGGAGAAATTTTACTTTTCCAAAACAAAGCTGCACAACAGTTTCCCATGTGTTTCACAAATTGAAATAATCTCGATTGCACACACTCTAATCAACATGTTTTATTTCAGCTTTCAGGTATGGGGAAATCAAATTTTGCAGCCAATTTAAATGATTTTCTAATAAATAAATGAAGGGCTTAAATATAAAAACGGTCAAATGTATGTCAGGATTTTTTCTTAATGACATTCCAGTTAAATTTTTAAAAAAAAAGATTATGAAGAAAAATTGCAAACACATTTTGGACTTGGCCAATTTTAAAACTTATTAATTTAAAACAATTTTAAAAATAAACAGTTAGAATATCCACCATTTTTAAATTTAGAAAGCCAAGTTTGATTAAACTAAGCAGAACAGTAATTCTAAATCGAGCCTGGTTAGTTTTGAAGCTATGAAAACATTTTAAAAAATGCACCCTAGACTGTTAAAAAAATGACAAAGGCTTTTTTCTCTTTTTCTGATTTGGTCACATTTAAATATTAACCCTTCATATGATTCTATTAATACTGATGAAAAATTAGTTCAGATGACTAATAAAATAATAAAAAAAATTTCTTTTTTTTTTTTTTAAAACTTGCAATGTTGATGTTGCTTTTTAATAAGGTGGCAATAAAAATCTCTTTTATAAAAATATTTTTTTTTTGTCATCTAAAACTTGATAAAGGCGTGAATGAATCCTTCAAAGCGCAAAGTAGTTTCACTACAAGCAATAAAAATAATGTACACTCTCGCAACTACAATAACATTTCATTTTACCTCTTTAACAGCATTTACAGCGGTGTATACAGACATAACTCATTAGCTATAAAAAAAAATTCTTAAAACTACAATGGGTCAACTGACCACTTTAACACAAATTATGAAGAAAAAAAAAATCTAAGAATGTTAAAGTGTTATCAATTGGACACTAAAGTGTGAGGGGGAAAAACATTGAATGCATCACAAAGAAATAAATAACAAAAAAGAACTTTACATAATTTTCCAACTAATGACCCGTTTCTCCCTTTCACTAAAAATACATTAAATAATTTCAATTCAAATTTTAAATAGATTATGTCTAGATTGGATACATAATGAAAAATTTAAATTAGACACAAGTTATTCGTTAACACTCTTGGCTCGACAATCTATTAAACCAAATCATATTGCACTATTAACATATATATATAAATAAAAATACAACAGTTTTTATAAACTACAAGCTGATATTAGTCAAAATTTTTATAGCTTTTAAATAACAAAAAAATTGTCAAATAACAATTTGAATGAACTAATATTAACAAATATTAATATTATAATATACTAAGTGAAAATATGTTTCTAATTGTAACTTTAACATCGTTTATTTAAATTTATCTAGTAGTTAGAAACAGATTACATAGTTGGCTTTAAATATACTCAAAAATCAAAATAAAACCTTAATTTTAACTTACTAAGGCAACCTCAAAAATTTACAATTTTTATAGAAAAAAAAATTATTTTTTCTTCCTTATAATATTTACATCATTATAAAAATTGAACATCCGACTACTTTTCTACATAGTCCGAAAATTAGATAATGTATTTTTGCAGACAGTGTGACAACCTTTGCATGTCCGAATCATACTAGCTCTCAGCCATGCCCTTGAAAATTAACCAAATTTCATTTTTTACTTCGTTGTCAAAGTCAATTTGTTTGAAGTGGGAGTAAATGCCAGCTGGAACCATAATAAATACCAATAAAACTTAAACGAGCATTTCAGAACTGAAGAAGTGGAATGTTGAACATACATGCAACATCCACATGTCAGTTATAAATTGTTTCTCTCTTGCAATAGTTTCAAAGGAACATTGCACACTATAGACTGGACTTGGCACCCAATAACTATCACTTTCACCTTAATTTAAAAAAAAAAAAAAAACATTACATCATGAGGTAATTCATAGATTTGGCAAAGGTAAATGTGAGGTTTAACTCTTTCTCAAAGACATGCAGGTAGCTAGTTCACCACAGGTATAAAAGTTAGTGTCCACAAAATTCCACCAACCGATTTCACTATTATGTAGAAAAATAGAGGTGTGTTCAGTTTTTAAAACTATCTAAATATTATAGTAAATATTATTTGAATAGTACAAGAGCACAACAATGAAGGCACACTTCACAATCATGTTCGTATGGAAAACCATACATTTCAACATGAAAGAAGTAAGCACCATAGCCAGTTTAATTTCGCATAACACATATTATTAGGTAACACATTTTACTTAAGATAAATTCAAGAATCACATAAATAAAATTTAACCAATAATCGGCGAAAATGTCACAATTATATCGCCTTATAATATACTGTTAGAATCTTTGATGAGGGATAACTAATGAGCAATGATAACAATTAATCATATTTAAAGCATTACAACCATTTTTAATAATAATAATTTATCATAAAAGTAAATGTTATATAAATAATTTACTGTACATAAACCAATAATCATATTAACGATAAGCATTAATAGGCAAATCCAACACTAAAAAAAAAGTTTAGCATTAAAAAAGAGAAATACATTAAAATAAGTAAAAATTTAAATCTTATAAACGGATACTTGATGCGACATTTTGAAAAAACAGTACTGATCAACAATGATTATATCAAATTTCCAGCCTAAATAAAGTCCTTAACATTTCACCACTTAGCTGGTAAATAATAAACAAAAATTATTTGCTGGTTTAAACAAGTTTTTTTTAATTAAATTCTTCGATAACATGATTGAAATAAATATCCAATATTAAAATTCATCTTCGTCAGATAACCCTTTGATTAAAAAATAATAATAATAAAATAAATAACGCTTAAAAGCATGTTAATTTTTCTTCTTCTTTTCAACAAATGTCTGCCCTTGTCCCAATTTTTGAGCACACAGAGAAGGGGGGGGGGGTTGAAAGACATCACAGCCCTGAATGTCAGGACATGACTATTTAGCAAACACAATTGCAAGTATAAATTATAAGCTTTGTTGCGAATCATCTCTGGAGAAGTCCTCAGTGTCCAAAAGATTTTAAAAAGTTCATGAAAGGAGAACTTCGGCAAAGCCCAAACTGGAGTATATACATTAACTTTCTTCTGCAAAAATAAACAAATATCAGATACTTGACGCAAATTTAGAACTAAATATATGTTCAGGTTGATTCAGAACTATTGTTCAAAAATCTTCATACAGGTTAAGAACATAAGCACGATTGTCACTCAAATCTGTAAAAAAATTCCATGCGTTTTCCCTGTACATATTATACACAATATATTAAGAGGAAACACACAATCATTGAGCTCTTGTCTGAGCTATATTGGGCTAACTATACTAGTTTTAATTGCTGGAAAAACTTAAAGAAATAAGGAACAGCTTAGCCTACTTAAATAACGCTATAGTAAATGAAATAGTTTAGTTTAGCAGAAATATCATCCTTACAGATCCCATAGAATGCGCTTTGAGAGGTCAGCACTTTTTAAAAGACGAAAATAAGAAATAACAGGGTTCCTACACTATTTTGAGAAAACAATATCCTGACTTTTGCAGGTTTTTCCTGACCTTCTACAATAAAATTCCTGACCCACCGTTTCCCACCGACTCCAACAAAACTTTTAAAATTGCAGTTTCCATTAGTAATAATATGCTACTTAGTCATAAGTATCATATATTGAATAGGATAAACACTTATATATTAAAGTGGAATTGCGTAATAGCACTTTATCTCAAATTATATTTTCAGAAAACTTGTGAAACATGTTTTTAATTATCATGATTAGATTAAACTTTTAGTGCGTTTTTGTAGTTAGATAAGAAAACTATTTAAATAAAAAGATCAAGAAAATCTGTTGGATTATGGAAATATTATTTTATTTAATGTTAAGTGGAACCAAATGCATGAGTGTCGTCAGGATATAAAGGGTTAATCAATTTTATCAAGGTGCCATGCTAATTTTATCAAGGGCTAGGCCAATGATTTCTAAGGGGCTGAAAATTTATAAAAAGTCACCAAAAGGATTACTTATGTTAAATCTATAAGAGCTTTATATTTAGATTTAATAAGTGAACTTTAACTGGCAAAAATAATCTTTCAAGTATTCCAAATTTCTGAGATTTTTTCTCTTAATAAATAAAAAATACTATTAAAAACTATTTAATAGAATAAATTTAAGGGAAAGCATTCAGGTTATTATACGGGTATGTAGACATTTTTATCTTTTTTTTTCTATGTATTGGTTAATTGCAAAATAGTAAGGGGTCTCAAAAACAAATGCTTTCGTCTTATCAGTCTATATTTATTTTTTTAGTTCTGTCTTACCTATGCACATAAATTATATTATTAGAATAAACTTAAACATATTANTCTTAAAACATACTAGAACATTTGTTACATTAAGTTATTAATTTTTAAAAATCACCAATTCACTTCAAACTGACTTTTCTTTTAAAAGATAATATTGAAATATAAAAGCGAAAAAAGTCAAGAAAAGTTAATTATATATAAAAAAAAATTCAGATAGAAAAATTATGCACTTGTGAGAAAAATAAAATCAAAAATATCTTCTTTTTTTTCAGTATTTTTAAATTTATTTCTGTAATACTGTAAGCTTCCGGAGAAACTTAGGGGCTCCTATGTTATATAATATTTCTCAACATATTTTGTTGTTTGACAATTTCTGAATCAAGAACATCCAGTTCTGTGGCAGCAGTTTTCGTCAATTTAGATTTTCTTAATTTCAAATCATCTATCTTTTCTTTTATTTGTTTTCCAGAAGTTTCAGCTTTTTTACTCTCTTCGTTTTTCTTTCTTTCTTTTTTTTTTTTCTTTTTGGCTTCTAATGCATGTCTCTATCTTGTTCTAGATCCTTTTTGAGCATCTAGCATTTTTTTCATTAATGTCTATGTTTTTTATTCCATTTATAAATGAAACATAATCATACACACGCCTTTGTGAAATAATTTAGTCTTCATTGAGGTTTTCAACCAATAAGCTTTTATTGATTGAAAATCCCCCTTCGACTGCTGCATTACCATGAGAGAGGATAAGAACAATTTTTATAATCTCCCACAAATCTTCAAATTTTTTTTCTCCGTGCAAATATTTCGAAAACAATTTATCTAATCTCTTTTGCTGTGGATTAAACTCTACGAAACTCCTTTGTTCTTCTTTTTTTTTTTCACAAAACAGTAAAAATTCCTTTTTTGCTTTTGTTTCAGCTACTGTTGTCTGTAAACCAGTTATTCACACAAAGAGCAATAAACCTAGCAACCCTATCAAAAATTCCTTATTGGATAAACAGGAGGAAATTTGCTAACAGGACAGGTTCTACCAGGGAAAGAGGAATGTTATTATGAGGAAATTACATATTTTGAATTAAAGAATTTTTCTTTGAAACTTTATTTTTGCCTGTCAGTCTTTGAATGAACTATAGTTTTTTTTTTTTTTTTCCTAACTTTATGAATATGTAAGAAAAATCCTGACTTTTTAGCTTAATATTAGAATATCCTGACTTTTGCAGGTTTTCCTGACCATATAGGAACCCTGAATAAAATTCCCTGTTGTAAGAAAAACTCTAAATTCCCTGTTATTTCAGGTGATTTTGCAGGTTTTTCCTGTGGAGTGGCAACCCTGATTTGAAGCAAGATCATATTGGTATATACAGGGTATCCGCTACATTTTAGATTTTCTAATCCATGACTAATTCCAAGAATTTTTCATGACTTCACAAAGTACTATTTCCTCCACAAAAACACAACAATAAATTTAAAAAAGCATTATAATAACATTAATCGAAATGATAGGTATAACCAAAATTGTTATACTCTGCATCTTCATACCTAGAGATTTTAAATTTAAAAAAAACAGAGTAAAGAAATAGTGGAAGTAATTAATTGAAAAAAATACAAAAGCAAATAATTTTTTTCTTCTTTTTTTCGGCAGAATTATATTCTAAAGATACTTTCCTTGTCCATCGGAAAGGAAAGAAATACTCCAGATTTTTCTGTTCTCATTTCGGAATAAAAAAAATTTGCCAATGACTGGCTTGTTACAGTTGGAATTTTAAATTGATAAAATAAAAATAATAAATAACAAAAACTCTGAAATCAGAGAAGTTTAAAAGATAATTCGCTCCAGAAAAGAGGTTTTTTCCTTCATTTTTTTTAAAGAACACGATAAAAATATTATACATTTTAATAAAATATGACTGTGGGGGAGGATTTTGTTACAAATTCAGATATTTGGAACACCGTGTAATTGGGGGGGGGGGTTAAATTCCATTTTTAAAATTAGATTTTTAGGCGACCTAAATCCATGATTTTATTTTTAAAAATAGTTAGAATCATGACAAATTTTGTTCAGTACTGAAATTCATGACTTTCCAGCTGCCCTGGAAATCAGGCGATCATATATACCCTGTATATATGATCGCAGGCGCAATGTAGAAGCACTACAATGTCATAAAGTCAAAGATCGAAACATGTGACAAATAGTATTTATTACACAAAAACTTGTTAATAATAATGAATCATTTTCAAAATTTAAATCTTGTATGGATAAGCGAATTTTATAACTACCAACAAAAATTTCACATTTGTTTAAAAAGTCACCACATACTGGCAAGATATATAGAAAGTGAAATTAAGATTAAGTAATCCAAAACTTTGATCATTCTCCTGCCTAAACTATTAGAGCCATATTTTTCAGATTGTGGTTGCCCTCATATTTTAATGGTCAAAGCTTCGAACTTGTTGGAAAAAATTACTTTGTTAGTTAACACTAATTACTTAGTATATATGAGATACATCGAACCATTAAGATTTACACTTAGATTGTGAAAATACAGTCATTAAAAACAAAGAAAGCTAAATTCAGAGTAATCTCTCTTTTTTTTACTTATTTACAGCACAAGATGGAACGCTTATCATTTCTTAGGATAGACACCTGTGAAATTTCATGACACCGAATTAAATATGCTATTAAACATGTTGCAAAACTACAGCACTTTTTACTGTAAATGCGTGGATAAAAAGCGTTCAGTTCATATTTATTTATTGCATCAGAAAATCTTTCAGAATTTATGCAAATGTTTTGGAAAATTTATTCCTTATTTTAAGGTACCTCAAACTTAAATTCAATTCCTGCGTTTTTTGGGGGTATTTTAATCTAATTTTTCTACAGCTAATAATTTTTATAAAAAAAAAAAAATTCCGATTTTTCTGTGCTCTTGCCATGCTAATTTTATCAAGGCCTAGGCCAATGATTTCTGAGGGGCAGAAAATTAATGAAAAGTCACCAAAAGGATTACTATTATCAAATCTATAAGAGCTTTATATTTAGATTTATTATGTAAACTTTAACTGAGAAAAATATTCTTTCAAGTATTCCAAATTTCTGTGATTTTTTCTCTTAGTAAATAAAAAAATTATTAAAAACTATTTAATGGAATAAATTTAAGGGAAAGCATTCAGGTTATTATACGGGTATGTAGACATTTTTATCTTCCATGCAATCATCAGTATTGGTTAATAGCAAAATAGTAAGGGGTCTCGAAAACAAATGCTTTCGTCTTATCAGTCTATATTTATTTTTTTAGTTCTGTCTTACCTATGCACATAAATTATATTATTAGAATAAACTTAAACATATTATGTGAAAGAATTCAGGTAGGTAGTAATCAAGAGATATAATGAGCAACACACACTTTTTCTTCTTTTTCTACCATTTATGACACATTAAAGGTAACTTATTGTAAGCAAAACTGGTAGCTCACTGTGGTAAACATTCAAGATATAGAGATAATATTGAAATACTGTTTACTATTGAGGATAAAGATTTTTGATGGAGCATTATTTTGTACATGATAAATATTCAATATATTTTGTACATAATAAATGTAAAATCATTATTATGATTAAAAATATTATTAAAAATTGATTAAATATTTCATTAATTATAAATTTATTAAATAAAAATATGAAGGCATTAAAATTTTTAAGTGATATAAAAAACCAAAATCAAGAATAACAAAAATCTCTTTCAGAAATTGAAATAGGCCTTAATTTAGAAAACAAATCAAAGTCTCTTTGGTGGTTCTTTTATTTATTTTTTTAGTTAGAATAAAATTCCTTGCTTTTTTTAGATTGATGAAATTCCCTACTTTCTTGGCTCTAAAGCCGCCACACATTGCTTTTCCTACCTTTATATGCAGAAAAAAAAAATTATAAAAAATTTGTAAAGAAACTAGATTTAGCAGGCATTTAATATGACTAGTAAAATTAATGCAAACCTTTTTTAGGAGACATCACTTTTCGACCGCCTTTGATAGCTGTGGAATCTAAAATAGATGGATCATAAGTATAACAAATATTTGCAACGATACATAGGAATTATAACTGCCATTCAAATAGTTTATACAATAGTCAATTAAATATGCACAATTCATAATAACAGAATGAAGATAAAATACATTTTATCTCACCAAAGTCACTCACCTCCACTATTCCTAAAAAAAGGAAGGAAAAAAAAACATATTAATCACTTTTATTAAAACTCAAACAAAATAATTCATATTATCAATAAAAAAATGTGATAAAGACATTCACTAAGTTAATGAAAATATATCCAGCGACCATATACTAAAAACGACTATATGCTAAATAAATATGCACATTTAAAATTTCTGTAGCTTCCTTGGAAATAAAGAAACTTTTATGTCAAATCAATTTCAAGACAAAGAAGCTTAACTTATGTACTATCTCAATTAAAAGAGTTTAAAGTGGACTTGTTGATAAGTCTAAGCATTGTTGTTGTATAGTCATAAAAAACAGACCAAGTCATTTATTTGCATTCAAACAAAGCAAAAAACTAAAACGGTGAATAAAAAAGGGTTGAGGAAATAATAGCAAGATGGAAGATGGTATGTTATTTATACAAGAAAGCTTGCAGATTGGGAAGAGTTCCATACTAGCAAAAATCCAAAAGTGTTAAAATTATTTAGTGAGTTACCATTTTATATAACTAAGAAACAAAGGATTTATTTTGTCTCTAACTACTTCAATGTCAATTAGTATCCATCCACATTGTTCAAAATCCTAAAAATTCAAATAATGCTCAGAGAGTTTAAAATTACTTTTAAATGTCAATTGTTCAGTTTTTCTAAAAAAAAAATTAAACTGTTCAGTAATAAAAAGATTCGATTTTAGCATTATTTGAGAGTTAAAGTTTAACATCATGATATTTATATATGGAAAAAAAATAATGATAATTACATGTTAGATCCTGAACCCTGGAATTGATTAGGCCTGATGCCCTGATTTGCACTGCCAGAGTGAGGCTGTCCTGCCCTGATGGGTTTAGCTAGAAATAAAATTTAGCATTTAAAATAAACAGTATAAAACTATACTCGCAAATTTATTCAAGCAAATTAATTAGCACTTACCAATATGAGCCATATTTCCACGCCTAGCAATTTGCTTTTGTCTCACAGCTTCTTTTATTCTATCAACCTCATGTTGATATCTAAATTTACAAATTAAAAAAATTATTTAATTTCCACATACACATTTGAAAAATAAACATTTTATTTTATCGATTGAATAATTATGAAGAACACAAAGAAGTTGTATTTGAGAAACAACTTTATTCCAGATGATTTATAAATAACAAAAACTGATTGTTTTCTTAAATAAAATCTGCTAAATAAAAATGTATAAATCTCTTTAAAGTGAAAGATAAAATTCTATTAAAAGATTTATTATTCAACATAGTTACAGTTGATACTTGAACACGTAAACTTGTTTAAATTAAAAAAAAGAAAAGAAAAATACTTAATTCTACTATTGAAGTTGATTTTGCCACAGTATACTCATATTAATTACAACACCTACTTAAGTGAGAGTAACTAATGAGAGGATTTCATGGCAATACAAATCCAAGTTAATATCTTTTGTGTTAGACTTAAACTGGCAACATCAATATATTAAAACTAAATACTGCATTACTTAAAATAATATCATTAACTCAGTGTTTAAACTAACGGTTCAGATATCATTTAACAATTCAAAGAGTAGTAATGAGATCAAAAAGATGAAGATACAATAGAACTCTGATTATCAAACCTTTTATACCTAAATATTTCTGCTAACCGAATTTGATAATATTATTTTTGCCTATTTTCTTGCTTTTACTTTTTCATTTTCAATAATGCTGTCATATTTAAACTTAACATGAGATCTTTCAGGTCTCTATGTTGTTGCTTTGAAGTGACAGATCTGACGAATAGTTTTCAAAGCCCGCAACACATTTAATTACTTGCTATATCATATTTTGCAATTATTTGATTTGCAACAATCATCTTAACATTAACTATTAGAAGCTAAGTTTAGTTATATCATCATGGCTTCCCTTTCGCTAGAAGGAACAGGTCATATTAGTCTGAGCAAGAAAAAAATATATTTGTATCAGCAGCATTGAGAACATGTTAAATGCTGCTAGTTAAGGAATATAAATCAATGTAATCAATTTAATAAAACAATAAATATAGCTAATGATTCAAAATTAGATGCTGCTTTTAAAAATAGGTTATAAAAATGGGGGGTGAAGAAACATGGCTATCTAAAACAATAGTGTAAGTGTATTTAAAATATCTTTATACTCATTATCATGTAGCTGGTATCATAATAAAATTAAATTTGTATACTGTTAAGCAAAAATTATTGTTGAAAATAAAAAAAACACAATGTCAACACCATAATTGAAATACTACTTTATAAATAAACCTCAAACTTTTGAAAGAAATCAGATTTCCAGAATAGACATAATTAAAACAATTTTAAGATACATTCGGAAAAAAAAGTTATGTAGAGAAAAAAAGTCACCTTTTTCTATCACGCATAGCACTTTCTTTAGCATCTTTCAGAGCCTGCTCCAAAGCTTTTACTCTTTCCATTGTTGCACGCAGCCTTTTCTCTAGTTTAGGAAGTTCACAGCGCAAATCAGCATTATCTCTAACCAGCTACAATCATTCCGAATTTGGCCAATTAGTAAAAATGAATTTATAATAATAAATGCATAAATTTTATTTAATATTTACTTAAAATAAAGTGCATGAGTGGATTTTAATTATTATTAACACATTCACATAATTAAAATAGTAAAAATTTTTTTAATTAATTATGATGAAACTTGAATAATAAAAAAGAAACAAATATAGATTTTTAAATTAAAACTTTCAGAAGGACATACCTGTTTATGGACTTTGGTTAGTTGATCTAGATTGTTTTCGAGGAATGAGATCTTTTGCTTCTGGGCTAAACTACCGCCATTATCATCACTGTCATCTCCAACAGACGATTTCTTTACCCTACTCTGAAGGTCTTGTACAAAAAGTTTTCTCAGATTATGTAAAGTCTGAAGTTCTTTAGCCTAAAAAAGTAGATGAAAGTAATATGAAAAATTTTTTAAGTATAATTCAATTACTACTTTAAGAATATAGTGAGAGCTCATTTAAGGAAACATATACCAATTCAAAATACTTTTATAGTATTCAAATGGGTCTTCATATAAGTATCACTATTTTCTGTTACCCTATTGATTCTTGTTTATTAAGGATGTTTTTCTTACACACACTGTATTTTGCAAGTAAACTTGAATATGACTTTACAGTAACAGTATTTCTAACATTAAAAAGTTAAGCTCACTTCACAATAGATGTGCTCACCAACAAAAATAATTTGGAATTCATGAATATTTTATTTTTAGCTTTTTTTTCATGAAAAAGGCATTGTTTTCATCCCTTTGTTCAGTATAAAGAATTTATGACCCACCTTCTATTAAGACATAATTCTGAAACAATTAAAAAATTGTTTCCAAACATTTTTAAAAAATGTAAAAAATTATAATTTTTTAATGAAATTTTTTTTTAAATAAAAAGTGTTTGATACTCATAAGTGTTTAATTGCTTACATATAAGATATTTGTTCAAATCAATAGGATTCTATGTGGAGTTTAAAAACACAAAATCTGTAATAGTTTATGCTGCCTACTAATTTATGGGTATTACCTATCAAAACAGCAAATCATTCAGCACTGTAAATTATGTCTGAAGCAAAAATAGATCACTGGAATACCTCAATGAATATGAAACATATTCAAATCATTGTTTCAATTGGCAATTCTGAATATAAAATTGTATGAATATTCATATAATTTTATATTCAGAATTGCTCTAATTCTGTTATGCACTGCCAATTCTGGTTTTCTATAGGTGCACTACTACCTCTATTGCAAAAAAAATATTTAAAATTTTAAAAATAACAATTAGAAATACATAGTGCAATTAAAAGAGTAATCGAAATACAAATGATTTGAATGTAACAGTCCTAAAACACTGACTGGTCCAATATAAGTATAATACTATGGTACTAATGGGTGTGAAAAATGTTTTCTTAGTTACAGGATATAATTTGTTAATGCATTTCCAAAACCTATAACTTGGTATGGTAAGAAAATGAGTCCTTTTAAACTATACCAATTAATTCAAGATAACTCAATTATTCTTGCTACTATTAAGTCTATATGGGTACGGCTTAGAAAATCAGATATTTTAGCCATCTTAAATCCCACCAATTTTTAAGCTTCATATGCTCAACAAAATATTAGTGTGTCTTTACAACAAAGTCAAACACTAAGAGTCAACTGCAAAGGTATAGATTTCTGATAGTACTGAGTGATATCAATGGCAGAAATACCATCTTAGCCAATCATAGAAAATATGGTCCTCAAGATATACTTTGATAAATAATTTCATTACATTTTTGTGTAGATTATTTCTATTTTCATATCACATTAAAATAAAATTATAACATTTTGTAATAATGATAAAAAGAAAATATGTAGTAAACAAGAAAAAAATTTATTATTTGTGAAATGCAACATACCACAGTCTCTTCCAAGCCTTTGAGATCCTGACGAGCTTGCTCTCTTCTCTCACTCATTAATCTGAAATAGGTGTAGAAGATTTAATTTGCATAGTTGGTTGTTAATATAAGGCATGCATAAAAATATTAGTGAACCGATACATAAAATAAATGATGAAAACAAGATACCAAAATTCTCATTTAAGTATTACCAGAAAGCTAGGCAAAATTTTTGGGTAAAATAATTGCATTGGAAGGGAGCTATAGGAAGGAGTCAGTGAAAGAATAGTTCTTGGTTGATTGAAAAACAGATGTCACATGCCATCAAAAAATGTAGAACAAAATGAGAACAGGTTTTGAATTAACCCAAATCAATGCAAATAATTATCATACATAATTTTTTTATTTCCTCTATATCTAATGGAATCCTGTAACAACACTGGTCTAAACTGCTTGAAATTGTCAGTTATCTTAATTTGAGCATGGTTCATCGTGTTTTTTTTTCTTTCTCGAAAACATTTAAATCAGTTGTAAACACATTTTGTACTCACATCATTTGTTCTGTATGCAAAGACCAACATCAAACACATTTCACAGAACATTTAGTAAATTTGTAACAAAACTTAATGCTTATCTATATGGATCACACCAGTAATAAAAATTTAGTGGTCCAATAGGAACATGTAGATAGTTATTTAGTAGTCAAAAAACTTAATGTGGAAGACAAAATTGAGAAGGAAAAAAAATCTAATTTTGCAATTACTAAGTCCATGTTATGCAACACATCAAAAATTATTCATTGCCATCTATAACACTTAAAAACCAATTAGGTTATTTATTCCATTATAATAACATTTAATGAAATTAAGTAAAAAAGGGCTAAATTAATATTCGGAAATAGACTCAACATAGATTTTAAACTGCTGAGACCAATAAATAAATGACGAAAACAGAGAAAAAAGAACTAACAAAATATTGCCTTAAAAGTAAATTATCTAAAATTATAAATTTTATGAAAAACTACATGAATGCAAAGCCTAGTGCAACATGTAAATTTGAAGTTTCAAGATATTGAATGAAACACGTTAGAATTTAATATCAATTAAATTGAATAAAAAATTAGTACAGAAATTTTTTTTAATGCACGGAATTCAACGTAAATACCTATTCTTTGGTGGTATTATCTTAAATTAAAAACATATTTCAAGGCGACAAATTTGTCGTCCATGCATATGATTTTAGCGAGATTTGTAGAATTGTCGCTTTACTGGCCGTAAACCCTATTTATCTGTACCACTATTTCAATTCGACACGAGTTTTGGACGGACATCATTTACAAGCTTATAGAAAGCTAATCCGCATCTTTGCACCATGCCAATTCCTGATAGTATTCACCCTGGATAACTGCATTTCTGATTCACATTACTTTTGAAATAATCAGGCATTCACCAAATTTTTAGACACACCTTGCATTAAAATATTTCTACTTACATAAACTCTTGAAGTTTCTGAGTTTTATCGGATTCATCCTGCTTCAGCTTGTTATAATCAAGTTGTAGTTGTTCTTGGGCCAGAGAAAGCTTCTGATTGACACTGAAAAGGTCAAGTTGTTATTAAACATTGAATACAATAAATAGGATTTTAAAAAAATAAGTGAATAATACTATAAGTAAATTATAAAATTGACAATTTTTTTTAAAAAAAATTGACAATTTTTTTAAAGAAAATATTCAATACTAAATATGATTTCTAGCTTTACAATTCAGAATGAAACATACTCTTTTAGCTGATCAATCTGTGAATTTTTCTCTGCAATTTCATCTCTTAGTTGGGCTAGTTGTTTTTGATGAGCTTCCCTGTGTTTTTCTATCTGCTGTTCCAAAGCCTCTTTCATCTTTTCAGCACTGTCTTTTTCCTTCTGCTTTTCTTTTGATGCCATAATATGCATCTCCTCTGCAACATTTATAAAATTTTAAGCACAAATTTTTAAGAGCATTATGTTCAGTAAAGTTTTGAATAAAGTAAATATTAATATGAATAAATAATAATTCTCCCTCTTACTTGCTGATTTCAGTTTAGCACACTCTTCATTAAGGGCATCTACTTCTTCTTCTAAACTTCTTTTTTTATTTTCGTTATCACGAATGGTTTCTTGCAATGATTTCATTTTCGCTTCATACTGTCAACATAAAAATAAAATCTAAGTAAGCATTAATGAAATAACTACTTATTATTTGTAATGTAATACACATTTAGATATTAAGTAGAAAATTTCATATAAGATAAATGATATCTATATGATGTTTATTCATTACAATATTTTATATGGCTTCTCTATAAATTATAATTTTTCTACCAATGCTGCTGTACATAATTATATTTTTAACTTTCATTTGCTTAATTATTTAGCTCTGCGTAATAATACTAATAAACATTTTTAAAATCTATCTAACATTCTCACATAAATTTCTTAAGAAAATACATTAGTTTAAAAATTCATTCAACAGATACAACATTTTTACTTCAAAAAATTTTAAACACAGTTTCAAAATAATTTATTCTTAGAGTATGGAAACTACTATCTGACTTCTTACTAAAACAGGATTTTAAATATTATTTTAGATAAGAAAGGAGCTTTATTTTTCTGGTTAAATTTTATAAATAATAAAAAAATATTGATTTCGTTTTTTTTTTTTCTTTCTTTCCTAGCTATATCTCACATAATTGAAAATTAAATAATATTTAGATGCAGATTTCCTACCCAAAAAAGCATTGTAAATTCCCAGCCTTTATTTAAATATTCATAATCTCTAATATATTACTTGAAGTTAAAAGAATAACGATTTATAACGATTTCCTGAAAATAGTTAAGTACAACATTAACATGCTTTTCTGATAAAATCAAACCCTTACTGTTTAGTAGGGAAAAAATAGACAAAGACAAGATATTGTACAAAAATTAGTAAATAAATAAATAAAAAAACCAAATAAAGAAATATATAGTTTCTCATATTAAGACAACTTCTTAAACAATACTCACAACATTTTGAAACATTTTTACCTGATTTATAAGAAGTCTACATTCTGCAAGATCCTTCTCATATGTTTCAACTTTTTTATTGCTGTCAACCTGAGAACTTTCCAATTGACTGCATCTCTAAATTAGATAAAGCAATTTATAAATAGATGACAAGATATTCAATGGTCTTAAAACAGATAATAATTATAAATATTAGTAAGGAAATTATCTAATTCAATACTGAAACAAAAATAACAACTAAACTAAAAAAAATGAAATAAGTTTGACAAAACAACCAAATCCAACTAAAGTTCTCGATTATTTGAGGTTTGGTTATTAGAGTTTTCTATAAATCAGTAGAGAAAACTTCATTCAAGCCAAAAAACAATAACCAGCACATTCCCAAGACCAAGTTTGCCTTAAAAACTTAGAGGAACTAAATTGTTATGGGATCTGTGCAATGCTTTTATTATTGGACATCACAAGTTCAATTCAACCAATGGATCAAAGTACTTGAGAGCTTTAAAAAAAAAGTGCAGATTTCTAAAGATCATGAAAATTAAGGAAACCATTGCAGGAGCTGGGGAAAATTTTCTGTACCAGATATTTAACCTCTAACACCACAGCACCTTAGCTAATGTTCAATATTTTAGTATAATTCAATAACAAAAATTTACTTTTATGCTTCTTCCCATTTAATAACATTCTGATTCCTAAAAATTGGTCCTGGCTATTAAACACTTTCAAGTTCATCAGAAAATTTCAATTTTTGAAATTGATAGAAAATACAAATGGAACATTTTCAATCCTTATGGTGTCAAACACATAATAAATAACCAACATAGTTGCCAACATGGATAGGAAAAAATTCAGCAGATTTTGCGAAATAACATAAATTGCATGAGAAATGTTGTCTAATGCATTAAATATTACACACACAGGGAATTTTAGGAATTTTTTATAGTCATTATTGAAATCGTAAAACCGTAATATTTTCCAGTTATGATTGATATCAAATGAACTTGAAATGTCATGTATTATGTTTACTTATAATTTTAAATAGTAAAAGGCATTTAATTCATTAAAAGATTTTTTAATTAATTTAAAAAAGGACTTCTGAATAAAAATTAAATGAATATTTTTGAACAAAAAGAGTTTTAAACTGATTATAGTAAATGAGGCTCGCTGCATTATGGATTGGTAATACTTACATATTCAAGCAAGCAATAATCTGTNCAATCTGTGAATTTTTCTCTGCAATTTCATCTCTTAGTTGGGCTAGTTGTTTTTGATGAGCTTCCCTGTGTTTTTCTATCTGCTGTTCCAAAGCCTCTTTCATCTTTTCAGCACTGTCTTTTTCCTTCTGCTTTTCTTTTGATGCCATAATATGCATCTCCTCTGCAACATTTATAAAATTTTAAGCACAAATTTTTAAGAGCATTATGTTCAGTAAAGTTTTGAATAAAGTAAATATTAATATGAATAAATAATAATTCTCCCTCTTACTTGCTGATTTCAGTTTAGCACACTCTTCATTAAGGGCATCTACTTCTTCTTCTAAACTTCTTTTTTTATTTTCGTTATCACGAATGGTTTCTTGCAATGATTTCATTTTCGCTTCATACTGTCAACATAAAAATAAAATCTAAGTAAGCATTAATGAAATAACTACTTATTATTTGTAATGTAATACACATTTAGATATTTTTAAGTAGAAAATTTCATATAAGATAAATGATATCTATATGATGTTTATTCATTACAATATTTTATATGGCTTCTCCATAAATTATAATTTTTCTACCAATGCTGCTGTACATAATTATATTTTTCCCTTTCATTTGTTATTTAGCTCTGCGTAATAATACTAATAAATATTTTTAAAATCTATGCAACATTGTCCAAAAAATTTCTGAAGAAAATACATTTGCTTACAAATTTATTCAACAGATACAACATTTTTACTTTAAAAAATTTGAAACACAGTTTCGAAATAATTTATTCTTAGATTATGGAAAACTACTAACTGACTTCTAACTAAAACTGGATTTTAAATAATGATTTTATCTTTTTCCAGGCTACATATTTTAAATAATTGAAAAATAAATAGTATTTGTTTACAGATTCCTTGCCTAAAAAATGCATTGTAAATTCCCAACCTCTATTTAATTATTCATAATTTCTGACATTCTATTTGAAGTTATTATTAAAGAATTATTGGAAAAAAAAAAGATTGATAATGATTTCCTGAATATGGTTAAACACAACATTAATATGCTTTTTTGGCAAAATCTAGCCCTTACTGTTTAATAGAGAAGAAATAGACAAAGATAAGCTACTGTACAAAAATTAGTTAAGTATATATATATACAGTCACTCATATTAACACAACTTTTTGAACAATACCTTGAAACATTTTTACCTGATTTATAAGAAGTCTACATTCTGCAAGATCCTTTTCATAAGTTTCAACTTTTTTATTGCTGTCAACCTGAGAACTTTCCAATTGACTGCATCTCTAAATTAGATAAAGTAATTTATAATTAGCTGATAACATATTCAATGGTATTAAAACAGATAATACTTATATTTGTAAGAAAATTATCTAGTTCAATAATAAAACAAAAATATAAATTAAACTAAAAAATGAAATGATTTTGACAAAACCAAATCCAACTATAGTTGAGACTTGATTATTCGAAGCTTGGTTATTAAAGTTTTCTATATAAATCGGTAGAGAAAACTTCATTTAAGCATTTAAACAATAACCAGCTTGTTTGCCTAAAAACTTAGAGGAACTAAATTGGGATGGGATCGGTACAATGTTTTGACTATTGGACATCACAAGTTGAATTCAACCAATGGATCAAAGTACTAGAGAGCTTTAAAAAAAAATTGCAGATTTCTAAAAGTCATGGAAATTAAGAAAACCATTGCAGGAGCTTTGAAACATTTTCCGTGCCAGATATCTAACCTCTATCACCACAGCACCTTAGCTGACATCCAATATTTTAATATGATTCAATAAAAAATGAAAACTTACTTTTATGCTACTTCCCATTTCATAATATGCTAGTTCTTAAAAATTGGTCCTGGCTACTAAACATTTTTATGTTCATCAAAAAATTTTGAGTTTTGAAACTGATACGAAATACAAATGGAACATTTTCAATCCTTCCCATGGTGTCAAACACATAATAATAACCAACATAGCTGCCAACATGGATAGGAAAAAAAACCAGCAGACTTTACGAAATAATATAAATGTCATGATAATTATTGCTTAATGTATTAAATATTATACACATAGGGAATTTTAGGAATTTTTATAATCATCAAAATAGAAAAACGGAAATATTTTCCAATTATGATTGACATCAAATGAACCTGAAATGTTACGTATTATGCTTACTCATAATTTCAAATAGTAGGCATTTAATTCATAAAAGATAGTTAAAAGATTTTTTAATTAATTTAAGAAGAAAGTTCTGAATTTAAAAAAAGGGAACATTTTTGAACAATAAGAGTTTTAAACTGATTACTATAAATGACGCTCTTTGCATTATGAAGAAGTAATACTTATTTAAATATTCAAGCAAGCAATAATCTGTGCAAAATTTCTATTCTAATAGGTATTCTGTTAGGAAACTACTCAATTTTAGGAAATTTTCTAAAATGTATAAAAACTAGAAGAATTTTTATTAAACCAATGAAAAACTGGCAAAATCAAGTAGTTTACTGGAAAATCCAGTAGAGTTGGCAGCTATGAACCAATAAATATTGGTTAAAATTTGTAAATTTTTGGTTAAATAAGGTTCCATTTAGAATCCTCCTGTAAACAGGCACCATTCAATTTGCACTAAGAGAAACAAATAAACTCATTGTCCTTCAAACAAGAAATTAATTCACATGAATTAATTTTATACCAAAAAAAAAAATGACTACTATATTTCTACAATTAAAAATGTTACTAAGTTTGGTACTTATTTAGAAAAATATTTATGTGCAAATTTTTTCAATTGCAAAATAAAACACATTGAACCTTTGCTTAAAATTGGAATATTATAAACAAAAAATAAATAGCTTACAGATGAAAGAGCTTTCACTTCTGATTTCATTTTGCTGATATAAAGGCGAACAACCGTAAATTCTTCATCAACTTTTCCTGACAATTCTCCAGCCGCCTAGAAAATATAAATGAGCTTGAGAATAAACATGTTAACATAACTGTAACTTAGCTAAATTATTAAAATTAGCAGATAAGTAAGGTTAAACCTTCGAATTTGAAGAAAATATAAAAAATTTAATACAGATTTTTGTTCGCTAATTTTATTGCAATGTCCATGCCTGCCAACAAGCAAATAACTTACATAACAGTTTAATAAATATCGCTAATAACTTGTGCATGCCAGATAAACACAGATAGGCACTTTTGCAAAGTAAGCAATCAGTCTATTTTAACTAAAAATATTAGCCATTAGATAGTTAGAGATAAATTTATTTACCAAACATATGCATATAAATACAGAGGCATATAAAAATGCTTGAGTTATGCAAAGTTCATCTTAACAACATTAAAAATAAAGTATGCTATAAAAGTGAATTTTATTTACTTTAACATAAGAAATAAATTTATGCTAAAATTATTAAATTGATTAATAAGTTGGAAAATATTATGATAAACTAGAAAGTCAAAAGAAGACTGCATGTATGATGGGCTTGAGACAATATAATAACATACCATATTTTGAAACTGTTTATTAAAAAAAATCTTGTGATAAAAATAAGAAGGCTTTGGTCTATTTAAAATGATATCAAGTGGAAATTCCAAAAATTTGAAAAGTCTAATCAAGAAACAACCCTAGCAAAAATTTTATCTGGGCTAGGGTTCAAAATTGGCTCAGTATTAGTCCTATAAGAACATGCACCGTGGTACCAATATTGGGATGTCTAGATTTTTCAATATTGGCCCAGAATGGCCTATATAGGGCCTACATTAGCCAATATAGAACCTATATTAGCTAAATAATGGATATAAAATATCGGGTGAATCAGACAATTCGACATAGGGCCAATATCGGAAAAATAACGGCTCTTTATACCCCTATTGGGTCAAGATTCATGCACATTGATGATGCTATTTTGCTGCTAGGGAATACAAAGGATTAGTTAGATGTAAAAATGACAACCTTTAGAATGTGGCTTATCACTATGTCACTATAAATAATAATTTAAATTTTTTTTTTTTTTTAATTTGGTAATTTTCTTAGAATCAAACTTCATATTTACCAAAATTGTGGGAAACATTTTGACTTTAAGATCAAATTTTAACATCATAAATGGGAAACTTTAGGGAAATAAATCCCTTCAAATGATCCACAAAAGAATTGAAGAGAGTTAACTGGATGTAAAGACTACATATCAAGGATTAGAGTGGATAATTTGTTTTAATTATATGGAATGTTTCAAAACGAATTCAATTTTTAAATGACTTAAGCATGAAATATCATCCAATATTATCCGAATTATCTAAATTTCAAATTATTCACATTTGGAATAAAAGAGTTCACTGTATAGCAAGCATTACCATGGCTGACTCTTCTTCAACATTTTAATTATCTAGATTATATATATTGTGATAAACCTAAGTCAAATTAACACACTTAGCGTTTAACATCAGAATTTTCTCAGTACACAACATTTTTTTCTTGAATGATAAGAAGGAAAAAAATTCTTTCTGAAATCATTTTTGAAAACTACCAACCACAATCTGTTCTCTAAGCTTTAACATGACTTTATTTAACTGTGCACACTTGTATTTTTTATGCACTCTAGTTTAGTTGCTTGAAACATCTTGCACTAATGTAGTGCACACATGCCTATTTTATTTTAGGATCTAATCTAAAGATGCTTCCAAACCATTAGTACAACATTAACAATAAAATAAAACAAAAATGTATAATATAAAAGAAATAAAAATGCTAAAAAAATATAAATTATAACTAGATCTTTGTAGAGATCAAGTAAGAAATTACTTAAATCATATTTAAAAAGTAAAATCACTTTCACAACAGAACTTACCCTTGTATCAGACACATTCCCACCTAAAACAACACCTATTTCACCCAAATCTTTCAGCAAATTCGTCAGCATCTCCGTCATTCTTTTCTTTTGATGCATAGTGTTATCCTTCAGTTGTTGCAATTCATTCATGGTATTGTTAAGATTTGACTAAAAGAGAAAATTCAATGACTTCATTAATAAATCTCAAATAATATTTAAACACTAAAAATTATACATCAGATTTACTCTTAAAGGATAATTATAGTCAAATAAAACTTTAACTTGCTTATTACAAGCATTGATCTGTCGAGAATAAATGAGGAAATTTTTAATTATAGTAGCTTGTTTATTTGGTGATAAAAATCACTTATTAAATAAGCTTTGTTATAACAAGCCAAGGATGAAAAATTTCTAAAACAGTGGGAAAAAATCACTAAGGAGAAATAGGTTTCTTTCAAGCCAAACTTTTTGAGAAGAAAAATAGAATATTAACATAATTTTTTAAACAATTTATAATTGTAATCTTGTTTGAATGATAGTAATAATTTTTAAGCTAATTAATAATTTCAAAGGCAGAAATTAAAATAAAAAGCAAAGTAGAAAAAAAAAGTGATACATTCTTATGAAATTAAACAATTGTGATTTGGTTCAATACTTTACAAAGGAGTATAGAAAAATCTCTTTTTATAATTATTTATAGAACTGTTAAAATATATAAAAAAGTTTATTACTACAATTAAATTAACAAATCCCATATTATACATACACTATTTATATTATACACACACTATATATAATCAAATGATTTTACTGAGTCTCAATGATATGTAGATTTTAAAATACTGATCTATCATAAAAATTTGATAATGTAAAATTGTTAATTTAGTTTATTTTTCATAAAATGACTGAATTCTCAAAATAGTAATATGCCATGTAATAATATTTTCTATGATGATGAACCTCTGAATTATTGTGTCATTTTATCAATAATTTGATTTTCTCTGATAATTCTCCTAATTCCCCACCTGTGACAACCTAATATACTAAAATAAAACTATAAATTTGAGATTTGGATAACAAAACTGACTATAGAAAACTCAGTTTAATAATAAAAACTTATTATTACAAATATTACTTTGAATAATCTCTAAAAAAAGATACAATCAAAAATTTAAATTGCCAGCACATTACCTCACTCTTTATCAATCTCTGTATTTTCTGATGTTTTTAGTTTTTATGCATTTTGAAAAAAGTGTCAGATAGAAATTTTTTGGCAATGTGGTTATTTTTCAACAAAAAATTACTTTACTTGAGAAAAAAGAAAAAAACTTAGAAAAAGAGAGAAAATAGTAAGAAAAAGAAAATTTGCTCACAAGCAATTTTGATAAAACTTTAAAGAAATTTCAGAAATAAAAATTGCACCAATTTTAAAAAATAAAATGCTTAAGTGACTTACCAATTTCTGGCTATGGTCTTCGCTAAGCTGCTCAAACTCGCGACTCTTGCTGTCGACTTCTTGACACTTCTGATCATAATTGACAGCAAGTTCTTCCAATGCTTGAAGAACCTCTTTGACTTCTTCTTTAGCAGACTCATTTTCTTGCTGAAGTCTATTCATCTCGTGTTGTAAAAGCTCATAATCTTTGCGATTTGCAGTAATCAACTGTAAAAAAATACAATTAAATTAAAGAGTTCATTAAATAAAAAAGACATTTATTGAGTTCTGTTGGACAAGAAAATCATTCAATCAAACATTTTCTTGATTTGCATTTTCAGCCATCATTGTTTATCTTGGCTACCGTGGTTTTTCTTGTTTTGTTTATCACTTTAATTTTATGAGGAAACATTTACATAGGCAACTTTGTGTTTTATTTTCCTCATTTGTGTTTCACGATTCTTAAGAATGGATGTCTGTTGAGTGTTCGAAGCATTCAAAGTTTTCCCACCTTTATAATTTTTCAAACTAATCAAGCTTTCCCATTATGAAGTATAGTTTTCTCTATCACTTTCACAAGTAACAAGGAATGGATAAAGAAAAGTGACTTAAGGTTGAATAAATCTAACCTCATTAACATTAAAATTGAATATAAATACTTTTGCTGACAATAATTTAGATTTCTAGTTTAAAAAATAAACTACATGTAAATTTGTTTTAATGAATTCTATTGTGTATTTCGTGATCGTGTAATAATGTGAAAAACTGAGGAAACACTTTCTTTTTTTCAGTGCAGAGTAGAATTTTGGTTAACGGAATCAGCTTTATAGAATGAAAACCTACAACCGATACAATCATATTAAATAGCAGGCACTATATAATCTAATTTTGTATATAAACTTGATTTCCCTCCCCCATGTGATCACAATTATAAACTAGGTTTATAAGACTTGTATATGAAAAATTAAATGAAAATATTGTTAGGATAAGTAAAGTTTAAGTCATTATATGATAGACAATTACTGCATATTTGTGGTTTTGAGAAATAATTTTATTTTCAAACATATTTTTAATAAAATTTGGTTATAATCAAACAGCATAATTTTTTATCTGACAAAAATGACATACTCGAACATATATTTGATTATTTTAGAAGTTACAAGCTAGCAAAAATCTCAAAGAGTTAAAAAAATTCTCAGAATTAAAAATTTGTTAATAGTTTGAAATTTTTTGAAACTGAATTTGCATGAACATATTCAAAATTTAATTCTTTAAAAATATAGATATTTCAAAAATTATCTATCTGTAAGCCAATTAAAAAAAACTACTACTGGTGCAGAATAGCTTAAGAGCAAACTTATTTAAATTTGAAATGTAATTAAAGTTAGCGACATAATCTTTCAAAAATATATAAATGTCTTCTAAATTAAACTCCAGTTAATACAAGCACAGTATAGGACTTCTAAATCCAGAATGCTCAGAACTGCTAATATTTCTGATTTCTTAAATTTCTGGACTTCAGAGTCAAGACTCAAATTCATTCAATCACATCAATAACAGAATAATTGAATGTAACTATTTTCTGGATTTTGTGTATGAACTCAACTTTATTCAATAACATCAAAAGCAGAATTATTCCTACTATTGTTTTTTAGTTCAATAACAAAATTATTATTAAATATATCTACAGCTAGCAATTAAATTTCAAGGCGTCTAAATTTGGGATTCAATATTGCAACATTTTAAAAGAAATGCTACCTCTTCTTGTTCAGCTAATTGCTCTTTTAGTTTTTCTACTTCTTGACTCTGCCTAGCTATTTCATCATCTTTTTCATCCATTTGACTGTAAAGACGTATACGTTCCTCTTCAAACTTAGCCCTTTCAGCATTGCCAACTGGCTCAGCAGACACTTGTTGAGGGATGTTAGTCACCGATGAAGTATCACTCAATGATAAGGTACTAACATCAAGATCTTTAGAAAGCAGCTGCTCATCTTGTGGCACAGATTCACCTAAAAAGAAATAAAGACATTTCAGCATTTTTTTTTACTTTTAATAAGTTTCTAAATACAATATATACACAGTAAGACTTGTAGGTTGTGAGAACTCATTTAACAAGATCCTGGGTGCAATGAGAAATTTAAAAAATTTATTAACAGAGTCTGTTGCGATAATAAGTGGTTTTATTGTGAAGAAAATGCACTTCACAGCATGTTCAGACCCGTTGGAATTGTTGTGCTTCAGATGTATCCGAACATCTGAAGAGTAAGGAAAGGCATTTCCTGGATACTCATTTTTGTCACAGATACAAAACATTGTTCCATAAAACAAAATGGATGTTTTGAGTGAAACTCTGGCAACTAGAATAGAAACTATTCTTATGATAAACAGCCTATGGTTATTGTTTACTGGATTAATTTTTAAAAAGGTCAAGTACAGGAAGAGAGAAGGCGATGAACAGACATCACTGATGAGATTGTGACTTCTGTGACCATGGATTGACAAATCCTGGTCGTCTAAGGGGCTAGAAAAATCTCCTTGGCGACTAACTTTTATAACATTATTCTGCTACTTATGTTTGGACTATTTAAATAGAATTCATCAGGAAAAAAAGTCTAAACTGATCATTTCTTTGCCACGAAATTATATCAATTGATAAAAATAGTATTTTAATGATAAAACTCAAAGGCAATGTTAATGTATACATTAAAAGAAACATTAATTTATATACAGCATTAGTGCTTTTTTTTCATAATTAGCTTTATTAAATTTGTTTAATTTAATATTTAACTTTTTTACATCAAAAAGACACAGATATGACTCGTAAAACTAAAAAAGTGTCAAGTATGTCCATAAGAAGATATTTTTTTACTTTGCAGTAAAATAATAACCTTACAATAATTCGAAATGATGGCTCCTAAGAATTTTTCCGGCTCTTAAAATATTACATATTTTGTCAGTCCCTGCCAGTGACTGAACTCTTGAACTCAAATTGTTGTTAGAGTATTCATTCAATGGCATTGATATGCATTCCAAAACGTCCGAAATCATGGAAAATGGCAACTTCACCTTGGCAACACGCCATTACACCACCTGCATATTGACCACTTTATTAGCAGATTTACAAACGCCAACAGTTTTTATAGCCATCTAGCAGTTTTGGCCTGTTCTCCCCAACCTTGTTTCTGTGCTTAAAAACTCTATATACATAACATTAAACTAAGATTTTTGAGAAGAAAAAAATTATGCAATAAGCACCAGTTCTGAAATTAAAAAACTGACATTCTGGAGTTACTAATTTAAAAACCTAATAATTTTGCTAATTTTCACAATAACAGTTACTTATTGAAGATTAAATTTTATAAAAGATACTTGGTTTATAAAGTTAGTCACCTATTTTGAGCCACAATTAAAAATAGGCTTAATAAACCTAAGTATAATGCTTACTACTGATTACAATTAACTTTTTTTTTTTTAAAAAAGAAAGTGTAAATATACAACGATCAAAGATATTTTTAATTAAATATAAATTAAATAACATACCATTTCGCCACCTGTTAAGTTCTGCTTCAGCTTGGGACAACTGAGCTTTGAGTTTAGTAACTTTTTCTTTTTCTTTCTCCCACCTTCTTTTCCACTCCTCTGCAGTTAATTCTTCGTTGACTATGACAGTGTTCTTTATAGTTTTCGCTCTACAAAAAACACAATAATTCAAAAACAGATTCAGATTTTTGAAAAATTTTATTTAGACAATCAGCCTTATCAGTTAACTACCTCGTATCTAGTTTAGAGTTTGCCTTATCATAAAAATAATTTAATTCAAAAATTATTTTAATGATACTATTTCACCGATTTGGAAGAGGAAGATTTGATTGCATAGTAAAAAGTGGTAGCTGAATTTCCCAACAACCTAAGGTATAAATAAATAATAAAGTATCAAAATACAAAAGTTTCAGAGCACTGGTGAAAATTTTTTTTATAAACCTTTCCTGATTATGCATCACTAAATAATTTATTTTCCAATGAACCTCTTATAAATTAAAGACTTAATATACATATATTATTTGAAATTTTATAACACAGTAATTTGTTATTTGAAACAGTAATATATTATTTGAAATTTTAATACAGCCTTTAATCTACAAGGAAGTAAAATATAGAAAAGCTATTTCTTGTGTGGGGTTGGGGTCACTACATAAGTTTAGCTGAATGGCAGAAAAACCAGTTCAAATATTATAAGTTTATAGCATTTTATTAAGTTCTAGTTACCTTTTGTTCAAAACAGGTATATATACAAAATCATGGCATAAATATTGCAAATTATCAGTTGCAAATAGTACTGACAAGCAAATGTGCCAATTTAAAACAGTCAAAAGAATACTAATTCATGTCAAATCATGTAATAATCTAATAAGCATTCACGACAATATTGAATACGAAAAAGTGTGAATGAAGCTGAACAATATAAAAAGAGAACATATAATGCTACATTAACAGACATAGAATAGTTTCATTTCTTTAATGATGAGTGCTCCTTCAGTATTGAAACACAGAATGAAAGAAAAAATAGGAAATAAAACCCTCTGTCTTTCTACACCAAAGAAGGTTCTTTATTTGAGAACAGAAACTATAGCATGTCTATCTATGTTACCTTAGTTGTGCTGTTTTCACACTCATATATATAGCACAAAGTCAAACCATTCTTTACTAAAATAAATTAGTGTTAATAATCATAAAATTAAAAAATTATATTCAACAATCTACAACAATTACAAGAATGTTGAAAAAATATATAATTTAAATAAAGAGTATTAAAAATGTTTTATATAGTTCATTAAATTTTTTGAAAGTTTAAAAAAAAAAAAAAATTTAAATATTTTTTTAACAAAGTTCAAAATAAATTCTTACCTACGACCAAATTCCAATGTAGATTTAGTTTCAGATTCATTATAGGAGGCTGGAGAACAGCAAATGATAATGGTAGTTCTAGAGTTACCACCCAAACTCTCTTGTAATATTCGGGTAAGTTTACTATCTCGATATGGTATATGAGATTTCTACAAAGCAAAAAAGTATGTTTAGAATATGTATAGTTAAAGAAAATGTTACTTCATAGATATATTGCATTTGCCAAATCTTTATAATTTAAATATTTTACTAGTTTTTTACTGCCTATGGTAATACACAACAATCATCTTATTAATGATTTCTGTGAAGCATTTATAAAAGAAATATGTTACCTAATACTAAAACATAAAATAAACATTAAGTTTCCTTCAGATAATTTTGTTTAGATATAAATTAAATATATTTTAAAAGAAGGAAAAGAAATGAAATCTGAAGGGGGAAAAAAGGAAGGTTCACAGAGTTTGCAATTACTCAAAGTATTTTCTACATACATTTTTAAACTTGTTTCAATGTAAGAATAAAATATTTATAAGTGTAACTATTTCATTAATTGGTTGAATTGCATATATGAGGGAAGTGATTGCACTGCACTAAACACAAACATTATAGAAAAAAAATGATGTTAAAAATTTAGCCTGATGCATGTAACAGGAAGAAAGAAAATCCCTAGAATATCTCAAACATGGTACTAGGAATACAATGAATTGTATTGCTGATGGACAAATTCCAAAGGTGTAGATTTTTTGTCGCCAAATTTAGTCCCAAGGCAAAATACAATATACACTTAATACATAGTTTGTAATTAAATTGCTATATTTCCAAAAAAATTACCTTGAAATATAATTTTAAGTTTTTTAAAGTCATAAATTAAGTTTTCTAAAGTCAAAAATTCCACATGAAGTAAATCTTAAGGTATGAACTATCATAATAATACTTAAGCCTTCTATTTCATTTAGTTTCTGAATACATTATAAAATTTTTATTTTAAAATGAATAAAATCTGAATAGTTGTTACATGCTATATACACCTTAACAATAAACATTACAGGTTTCACTTTCGTACACATTTAAGCATAATTTTAAGAAAAATTTAATTCAAAGGAATGCCTACAACTTCACCTTTAATTTTTAAAAAGATTTTCTTTGCTATGCTGGCTTAGGAAATGTTGTATGAAGAAAGTATTTTAAGATAAATGAAAGTAATACAAATTTTAAATAATTTTATAAGTAGAATCTTAATAACTGCATTGTTACATTATACAGATTTAATGGTAATACAGGATAAAATTTGTAAAAATGACAATTTCTCAAACACTTTAAAAACACTATAGAACTTAAATTTAAAGATCCAAATGAAAAAATATATAGACTTGATAATGAAAACACAAATAATTGCCCAATATTGATTAAGTTAAAATTGAAAAATTAAAATTTTTTGGATACATTGACTTGGGCTGAGTAGTTGTCAAAATTACATCTTTAATTTTTATTAATAAAAAACATTCAAATAAACTAACATTGCCATCTGCAAGTGCTGATATCACATTTCCCAGAGCTGACAATGATTTGTTTATGTTTTTTGCTTCATCAAGCACCATGCCTTCAGCTCCAGTTTTGCTGACCTAAAAAAAGTTATTATTTAATAAATAGAATAACAAACATTTCACTCTTTCAATAAAAAAAATAATAAAAAAATACATATCGCTCATAGAATAAATACACATGTAGAGAATGAAATCTGGGACATTTATAAAGAGAAAGATGAGTCACCTTTTCACTACCAGCTAAATCTACTAAGTACAATTTGCCACTGAGTTTCTTTTGATTTTCAAGATTTTCTTGTTTTACATTAATGAGGAAGACACTGTGGCTACGAGAACTGTGCTCATTCATGTCTATAAAGAAATACATTTATAATATTAAAAGCTTATAGTTTTTTAAAAGTAAATGTTTTCATAGGACCAAGAACTTATAGTACTAACAATATTATATAAAATTATCAATTTATATAATATTGATTAACTTACTTGTTACAGCAATATGCCTGTTTGATTTTCCTTCATCAATTACTTCCATTACTTCTTCAGGGCTAGTGACGAATCTTTCTGTTGCTCCCTAAAGGAATGAAGAGTTTATAAGAACTTGAACGAATATTTTTTATGAAACAATTTGCGCTAAAATTTACCCAAATTCATTAAGCAATTAAAAATATTAAATAAATTTAAAATACAAAGTTTGAGTTTAAAAAGAGGCACAAATTGATAGGAATAAAAAAATTTCCAGTATTTCTCATTTTTGCCTATAAGTACAGAATCATTTTTCAGCACTATTTTTTAATCATTAATCCTCTCCATGCATATCAATTAAATAAAGATTTTATCCTTTCTTCCTCCCTGTAAAGCTTACATTTTATCAAAACAAGTACATTAAAACTGCCCAAAAGTTATTTTTCTTTTTCTTTACCACACCAATAATTTAAATTGAAAGACAAGTTGGCTCTTAAAATAACTATCTTTTTAGTTATCTGGATTGCCTGGTATTCGAAAGGTGAAGCAGCTCATAGTTTGAAAAATAACTCATTAGCATAAAAATAAAACTGCATAACCCCAAATTTTTTTCGTCAAAAGTGAAATTCAGCAGAAATATTTCTGATTGCTAAAAATAAAATTATTTTTAGTATTTTTAATGAGTTAGAATCAATGCAGAAAAGAATATATAAACAAAATATCGAAAAATTTCAAACTAATCACTTTCATTCTTGCGAAAAATGAAAATTATCACCAAATACGAAAGTTTGAAGGCATCACAAATCTACAAAGTACTCAATGCAGAAAAAAATTTCAGTATATTTGTAAATAAAAACCTTAAATCTTAAGATAAGCAACAAAAAATAAATTTAAAAAATGATTAAATAATTAATGGTTAAGGTTAAGTGAGGTAAGGTTCTGATGTTTTCAATAATTAATCAATTACTTAAAAAATAATTATAACAACTAATTAGAAAGAAACTCAGATAATACTGACTCTATTTTATTAAAACATGTTAAAACTTGATAATTAATAAAAAAAATATTACAGATAAGAGAAAAATATATCTAATACAATTATAAATTAAAAACTCACCTTAACATAAGGTACTCTGTTTTTGTCTTCATGTACAGACAAATTAGTTTTTGAAACTAGAGAAAAAAAACAACTAATTAAAACATTGAAATAAGTATGTAAAATATGCCCACAATAATTTTATAAATATCTTACCATCTAAGAGATCTCTGATTTTGTCCAGGTAAATTTCAAAATATGATACCTGTAATAAATAATTCCAAAGGTATTAAAGCATTTAAAAATGAACAATTTAAATTTAATTATAATTGAAATACACATACAATCTAACCTCATCAACTTGTGCAATATTGGTATCACAAATTTTTAATATGTCTAACAAAAAAATTTCTTTTTCAATACTTAAGTCAGTTATTCTATTTTTATTTTTAATATTTTCCTCATTATTATAATAGAGTATTTTTTACTTAAGACTCAAGGAGGCAAAATAAAATTAAAAAAACTTTGTGAGGATGTTACATTCTTTTCCTCAGCGAGAATATAATACATCGGAACCAGTTTATCTCAAAATTTCTAAAAATTTTCTGCATTAACAAATCACATTCCATATTTATTTCAAAAAAATTTTTTCCAATAAACCGTGAAATTTTGAAAAACAGTGTATACTACAGAAATCAATGCCTTGGACAAATTTATTTGAAAGAAAAAGAATATTATCATTTTATAGATAGTAGTGCATACATAACAACTAGCAGGGTCTGAAAAATATCTAAATTGAATTCTTGCCTGCAAACATCACCTCAAAATTGCAATCAATGGATTAAAGAACATTAAGTTGATATGTAAGATATTAAATTGATAAGATAAGATATTATAAGTTAAGAGATATAAGATATTAAGTTGATAAGATAAGCTACAATAAGTTAAGAGATATTATAAGATATTAAATTGAGAGCAAATAACATAAGGCCCACCCAAGCTTGCAGATGCTGTCAATGAAAGAAAGATGACTCTCCCCAAGATAAATGTGTCATTAAAATGAGGGATTACACAGGATGAAATGTGACACAGAAGATTGTTTAAAATTGTTATAGATTTTTAATTGGATGCAAAGCGGTCCAGCTGAGAGGATGTTTTAAGATAATCAACAAAATAGGTAATAATAATAGCTATTGATTATCATTAATATTTTGAACTTAGTAGAATATAACTATGATTTTTTATATTTTTAAAAATTTCAATTTTTTTTATTTCAATTTACATTTATTATCTGATTCAACGTGCACGCGGCTGCACTTCAAGCAATTCATACACCCAGCAGCTCTAGAACTTTAACCAGTGATAATTGCTTTAATCTTCTCCACTGGTTTGCCAGCAAAAATAAGACTGCAGTTTTCCAATGGATTCCAGCCAGCTGTGGAAAAAAGGGTCTCCTGGTAAAAAAGGGATCTCTGTCCTCCAGAGATCTAAATCCAGACTTCCTTTTAATAATGTCTAATAAAGAACATCTTCAGGGACTCTTTCGAAAATCGCAATTCCAATAAGATGAACAGATTCTCTATGTCCCTCAGTGGCCTGGGATGAAATCTGTCACCATGTTTCATCTGATATCTCGACACAATTGCCTGAATAAACATCCAACTCATTTATTTAGTCCTCGGACATCAATCTGGAAAGACTACAGGACTGCTCGCTTTCATCTATAAATTTATTGTTATCTTCTCCATTTTTTATTGTCTTTTGATGTGCCATTGGAAATACATTTTTAACTTTATAGATATTTGTTATATATTTAATTGTTGAACCTAATACAAATTATGAAAAAATGTTCAACTTTTGCCACTTCTAAAACATAAATTCTTTGCAGTCATATGGTAGCTCTCAACCACAAATTTCAATTGAGTAGACAACAAAATATGATCAAGTAAGTTTAATTAAAGCCACTTATTTCTTTCTAAGACTGCACTTTGAGTGAAAAACTTAGGAGAAACTGGTCAGTTATACAAGCAGCCAAGTTAAATACAAAACTGTAGGACAAATAAATATTTTTGAAAAGGTTGATAGTAACTTTAACTAAGACATATAAATTATATACATATTTTTATTTCCTTATCAATTTTAATTAAATTATAAATATAGAATAAAATAACAAATATATAATTAATAATTATCGCATACATTGCAATCAAAAAAAATTTTTAATTGACTTACTTTTATATGGAATTCTATATTTTCATCCATAGAATATATATGATTGAAAATGTCATTAACAATCCTTGGAATAATACCTTGATTTACAGAATCGGTAAGATCCCCCTAAAAATATACACATTATTTAAAATAGTTTAAAACAATGAAAAGAGTTAATGTCTAATTGAAAAAAATTTCTAAAACTACTTACTTCCATAGTATGAGTTTTACCACTGGATGTCTGACCATAGGCAAAAATAGTACCATTGTATCCCATGAGTACATCTAAAGATAAAAACAGATAATAAAAGATATAAAACTTTTTTTGCAACCAGAAACTATAATAAAAGTAAAATAAAAAATTAAAAGAAAGGATTTTTAATGAAAACTATTTTGGGTGCAGCAAATTTCAGAAAGTAAAAATATTTTTGTTTAAATGCTAATTTGCAGAGCGAAAAGCAGCAATTTTATTATTATATAATTTAATACAACTTTCTTAAACAATAGGATTGACATATCACATTGCTGATAGACCAACAAGTCAACAAAAAAAAATTTATATCTTGGAATAATGTAATGTTCATAACCTTACTAAAACTAATCAGTGATAACCAGAGACATTTAAAGATTCAAATGACTAATACTTGACCTCAATCTTTATTAACCCAAATATTTAAAGTTTTATATGCCTACTTTTATGTAATTTTGAAAGTGAACAAGCATCTTTTTTTCAGTAACAGTCTTAGAAATATTATAAAATAATCATCTAAAAAAGGATTTGAAAAAAAAAAGAAAAAATAAAAGATAGAAGATATGAGTAAGAATATCAGGACAGTTTTATGATACAAAAATGATTTTACTATTACTTATGAGATTCAATAAATTGGCTTTGAGAAAGTTTTATAAACTGGTACCTATTTTTTTTTTTATTTTTTTTTTTTTTTTTTTTTTTTTTTTTTNTTGTTTTCTTTTTTTTTTTTTTTTTTTTAGAAATCTTCTCATTTAGGCTAAGTCTAGTGCTACTGCTAGACCTTGGAAACTATGAGTCCTTAGGACCCAAGAATTCTGAAATTCTGAGACCTTTCTTAAAAGTTTCTTAGTCCTTATTTAAAATAATTCAAATCTTTACAATAAAAATATATATACAAAATAAATACTTTATGATTAGGAAAAAAATTGTGATTATTAAATGATGCAGTATTATCTACAAAGAATTAAAATCAAAATTTCTCTACATCAATTCAACACAAAATTATTTTCATTTACTTCTTTTAACTACTTTTAATAAAAATAAAAATTTACAGAGAAGTTTATGTATACAGTGAAGTTGACCAGTTATGGTGCATTGTTGTGGTCAACTTATATAGATGGATAAGTCATTTTTTTAAAATCATTCCTATATCATTGAAATGTATTCATGTGACCATTAAAAATATCGATGAATGTAATTCAATGTTTTTAAGAAGACAAAATTTAATACAGCATTAAAATTAAATTAAATACCAGAATAAAAAATTTTTATGCAAACATAATATTAAATTGATTTGTTAAAAAAATACACATACATATCTAATTTTTCAGCATGCCAGTCATTTATTATAAAGAATTTCTTAGTACACAAGAACCAAATACAAATAGGAAACTTAATTTTAAATTCATTTTGTCATACAAATCAGAGTAATTTGTTGTCCTTTTCAAAACACACACAAGTTCTTTACATTTTCCCTATGTGGTCAACTCACAAAGGAGTTTCTAAAGGTTTAGATAAATTTTTAATTATTTTACTGAATCAGAGAAACTCTAATACTTTAACCTAATAGCATATAAATATTTCTAAAAAGTTTTTTTTTTTTTTTTTTTTTTTTTGTCAACTTACGATTTAGAATAGCATTCTATAACAAATAGACAAATTTGATTTGTTTTGCTAGTTAGATATATTGTCAAGTTGCAAAGGCCTTACTACCTTTCATTAAATGGAATAAATTTGATTATTGACAATAGAAGTGAACTCAGACAAGTGGTCAAGAAGAATAAGGGATATTAGTCATCAATAAGAGAAATAAATGAGGCTCACCTTTGACAATAGCTTTAGCTGCTTCATTATATACTTTTTCTTGTGTAGCATTAGGTTTGAAAATTTTATCAAACATATAAAGTTTGCCCTAAAATAAAACAAAGAGAAATAAACTATCATCATCAGTACAGTTATATCAAGTAGGTATTGTACATTTAAGAGAAAATAAATAGTTGCATTTATGACTGAAAAAAAAGTAAAAAATTGACCATGAATACTCCAATTCTGTGGTTTTAAATTTTTCCAGCTGTGCAACACTTAAATAATAAACCTTCTTTCAGCAGAACCACAACTTTATAAATAAAGTTTAAGGTAATTAATTGTGAGTGCTTTAACATTTCAAAGACTATATTTAAAATATTTAATTAAAGGAATGAAAATTTTTGATCGTTTTATCATTAATAATCTTAAATTTCTAGGTTTTATGTCGTAAAGTTAAATTTGCAGTCCTTGTGCTATATCTAGTTTAGTAATGAATTAGTTTCTGTGTATAGATATAAGTTTAAAAGGATTAAACTATGATGAATTATGGTTTACTTCAAAATTAAAAATACAGCTATAAATATTGTAAATGGTTATTCTTTATTAAAGAGTTTAGTTATTTTGATTCGAAAAGCATAATAAGAAATATAAATGGAATATTAAATGCTTTTTTTTTCTTTTCTTGTTCTTTCATAATTTGTTCAATATATTATTAGCAGAAATTTTATATTTTCTTTTAAAAATACCATTTCTATTTCATTGAATAAATTATGAATTATAGGTTTGACCTAAATATAATTAGAGGTTTCAAAACTTATCGCTAATCATAAAAATTGCTAATTCGCAGAACTCTACTAACTATTCCAGGAACTATAGGTATGGTTTCACGGAACACCATTTGGGTACTGCTGCTTTACTGTAACTCAGTGGGACCCAGGGGTTTGAAAAAACCAGAATTTTAAAAAATAATAATAATCAACCCAGTCGGGTCTTTCTTTGGGGGGGGGGAGTTAAGATATTACCTAGTTTAATACTTTTTAGGTTTAAATTTTAATTCAAAAGAGAATAATTCTAGCTAAAGAGAAAACTTTCATGGGAAAATAACTAAGTAATGAATTAAAATAGAAAATAGCTTAATTTTAATGTTGTATCATCTTTTCATGCTGTTATTAATAAAAGGCTCTCAAGTTAATTCCTTCTTTGGCTAGAAATAAAAGCATAATATTGAGAGCAAAAAAAATATGCTGTTTTCTGTTTTATTTATTTGTTTTTAAATACTTAAGCTATTAGTTAAGTATTTAAAATTAGTTTTGCTGTGAATTCAATAATTAATAACGTGAATACATAAATTGATTTATTAAATAAAAGTCGTATTAAATAAAATTTAACTTTTATTAATTAAAAATATATACTGTAAACCGGGGCGAGTCTACCCATCCAGGGGCGAGACTACCCATTTTAGTTTTATTTAATTTTAACTATTTTAAATTGCAAATAAAAAAATTTTTACCGACGGAGGACTTAGTTCAGACTCTAAGGAAGATGGCGCTGTAGTAGTTTGATCCGTTTTTATTTATTTAGTGTCTTTTTAACCGACCTGTTCAAACGTCTTAAACTTATCTAAGACTAAGATTACATTAATTTTATATGAAAAAAAAAAAACAAAAAGAATGTAAGTTTTGCTGTTGTAAACAAAAAGCCAGAATTCGCGGGGCGAGTCTACCCATTCGTATTTAGTTTTAATAAAGCATAATAATATAATTTAGAACTTTGTTTATATTAAAATTAAGTCATTTTAAATGAATTTGAGTATATTATTTTAATTCTGCATTGATAAATTTATCATTAATAAGAAAATTTATAGGTTAAATATAAATGTAAATATAAAANTACAGTAGGGAACCGATTATCCGGAACGATCGGGACCATCGCTATTCCGGATAACTGATTTTTCCGGTTTTCTGAATCGCTTCAAAAAGCCGTTTTTTTATTGTTAAACCCAACTGAAGAAAAAATATTTGGAAATAATCTTAAAAAGAAGAAAAATGATGAAGTAATATACTAATAATTATTTCCAAAATGATGGTAGGTAAACAATTTTTCAAAAAAGAAAGAAAAATCCTAAAATCTTAAGAGGAAAAAAAAAATTTTTTTTTTAAATGGCGGGAAAATTTATCGAATTTTGTTCCGGTTTTTTGGTTTTCCGGTTTTCTGATTTCCGGATAACGGGTTCTGTACTGTATATGCTTATTGTATTTGTATTTGAAAACTTATTTATTAAGAAATTAAAAGAAAGACAAAGTTATTCCAGCCTGTTCTCTGCACCTGTTCTTAAACAAATAAACATTAAGGCTCAAATTATTGCTTAAAAAAGGTGATTTTTCTTCATGTTGAATCAAGAAAAATCATTATATTAATCCCAAGTTAATACATTAAGTTTTGAAAGTGGGGTTATGTATATTTGTGCATTATGTATTAATATTTATAAGTCAAATAAAAAATAATTGTTATAAGGGCAGATTTTGATTATGTTTATAAAAAAAAATCCAAAAAAACTCATTTGTGCCCAGAATATATAGGGTTTTATTTAGTGAGTTTTTTTTTTAAAATAGACCACCAGGGTGAGTGGGTGGGTCAAAAATCTTGGGGACCATGATAAAAAGCTTTGTGAAAATCACTGCAGGGCTTTAAACCTCCCCACGATCGCTATCGCTCACCAAATTTAAGTTCATTTCATATTAAATTATATTAGAGACCATGTCCCTTGCTTGCCAACAGTAAATTAACGGTATCAGTGGATGATAATCCACCTATACCGTAAATTCAGCTCAGACCACAATGCGATCTGGCATGGATTACCGATTAAGCGGCAGAAAATAAAGATATAGAATGGAACAAAAATTCATTCATTAAAGCATAACGCGAGTTTGCAATTTAATTGTGCTCGAAAACCAATTAGAAATTTAAACAAAGTAAGACGTATTTCATCTTCTGTTAAAATAGGCGTCTTGTTATTTGAAACGAAAGCCCAGCGGCGAAAGTTAAAGATGGGAAAATCATTTCAATATTTTAAGCACTTGATTGCAATCATATTTAAGATAAATTTAATTACAATTGATTCAATAATAATAATTTTAAATATCAAAATTTATTACTTTAATAATATCTGATGAAGAGTTAACTTGAAACAATTACAAACCATCAAGAATTAATTGATAAATTTTCTAATTTTTTCCCCTTATTTAAATGAAGGCAGAGTGTTAAAAAACCGTAGAAGGAAAAAAGAATGTTATTTTTTAATTAAAAATTAAAAGAATTGGTTTTTTTAATACACCTGCAAGTGACGTCATCGTATATAAATCGTTGCATTCGTCGATTCAAAAGCCAATCAGATTCGACACACACGCTTGACATCGCATGCAGGTATCCAATTAAACAATTAAATCTGATTTAAATCACATGGTTAGGCATAATCATTTATTCAAATTGTAAGAACCCAATATTCCAGGATTGTACACAAATTACAAAAACAAAAACTTATGTTTCAAAAAAAGGCCATTTATCTTTCTCCTAAGAGTACGTAGCCACAACAAATTAGAATTTCACCGAGAATGGTACTTCCTTTACATCGAAAACTCGCCAATAAACTATTTAATTACGCCAAAACATGAGAAGTTTGTTTATTTTTAAAGTAAAGAGGACGAGGCTGCAAAAAGTCACCGTCCTTCTGCCGTCTACTCATACTAGTTTTTGTTTAACAAAAAATAATCTTTATTTTTGACATATAAAAACTCAAAAAGTAATAATTAAATAACCAGGAACCCTTACTGTATTTCCACCACCCCAAATTGTCGGGTATTGCGCAAAGGGGGGGGGGGGGGAGACTACAAAAATAAAATTTTGGCCAACGTGAATTAGAATCAAACACCTTTCAAATAAAAGCTACACGTGTTGCACATCACGGTTGTTGTAATTTTTTACTTTCTCTTATTCAGCATCGAACGTTTTTTTGAAAATAACTCAGGAACCAACGAAGTGTTCTCAAAATAAACATATCGGCTAAAAAGTCAATAAAAAAGTTTTATTCAAAATCGAAATTCTACTTAGAAATATTCTTTGTGAGACTAGCCTACAACAAGTTTTATACAAGTCTATTCTAACAAGTTTTAAAGAATTAAAAATTTTGTGTCACGATGGTATCAAAAAATTATATAAATTCACAAAATGATTTATTCAACTTTACTTACAAGTCCAGGGATGCCACGGGCGATTAAAAATTTAAGCAGTGGTAGAGACAATTAATTTTTGTTTAATTCATCAATTTAATTATTGAATCAAAACATAGATCAAAGCTGCCACCATGACTTACATTTAAAATTATTCATATTTAAAGCGAAAACATTCTTCGCATTCACTTTCAATAAGATTGCAAAAATAAATGCTAATTTTAAAATATTTTAATAGATTTTTGTTATTTAGTTGTCTCCACTTTTTACATTTTGAGTCTGCCGTGGCACCCTTGCAAGTCGGAAACTAAAGTTATGACCGAAACTAAACTCTCCTATCGATCTAACGCGTTTTATAAGAAAATTAAAATGGGGAAAAAATAGTATAAAACCAAAACCGAAAAAATATTTTTTAAAGTGATTTATTCAATTGAAAAATTGAAAATTAGATTTTAATAGTAAAATACACTAGTTCCTCAAGAGTGAACAAACTAACCCTACGTGGCGATTAATCGGGAATGCGAGTATAGATTACTATGCTGCTTAAACGTCCAATAACTGAAGAAGGAAAAAAAAAAAAAGCAGTCTCCTTTTATGTCAAATAAATTTTAATTTCGTAAAATAAAGCCAAGTTAAATGTTACTAGTTTTTATTGTACTTGGCATTACCCAGAGAGGCAGGTGTTACGGGAACACGCCCAGAAATCTTTGCCTTTTTTTTTTAAAAGTACTTTATTACATGATAAAAAGATCAACAACAAAAAAATTCATCTTTTAAAATTAAATTTCGTACTACATAAATTATGCTATTAAAAGACATATTTCTCATTGATAAAGAAAAAAATCGCACTACTTTGTTGTAATTTGGGAGTCATTGGGCA